TTTTATTTTATTCCTCTACATTCCCAGTGGGACATCGGGCTTGAAGCTAGAGCTTTGAAGTTTCGGTAGCAGTGGTGTTTATTTTTAGGGTATGGGGTTACTAGCCTCATGCCCAACCTTCCTTCTTTACTGGTCTTATTACCGGCTTAGCGAGGTAAAGGAGTGTGTCGGCCGGGGATCGAACCCCGATCTACCTCATTCCACCGCTAAGCCACCGACGCTATATATATTTACTTTATAGTATAAGCACAAATTAATAGTAATGGTGAGTGAAGAAAAGATTGTTGGAGAATAACATGATGAATGGGGAAGCATTATTGTCCAAGCAAGCGTTTGTCGGCTTAAGCACTTGACATAATGTAGTGTCATCAACCTTCACACAATACTATTTGGCTCATAGCCTGGTATATGAGAAAAATGGGTTGTGTGTAAATGAGTTCTAACTAATTCAACTCAAGGTAGCGTTCGCCGTCCCGAACACGAAAACCTCAATATACTCTTCACTGATATCTGTTTTGTAAACTCTCGTATTTTATATAAGGCATTAAAAAGACAAATATGTTGCATGCTGATATCATTTCGTAGTTTCTCTACAACCGTTTTACAACTAGTGTGGTTCACAATAATAAAATAAAATGTATGACAATTACTCACTCATATAAAACAAAAGTACATCCTGATAGCCAACCATATTTAAGTAGGTCAAGTAGTCTATGGTAGACAAAGGTTGAAGTCTACTGTTTTCTGTACATATAATTTGGGATGCATGTGATAAATCTAAAGTGCTCCTATCACCTTTAATAACCTTGAATTACAGTTATGTGAAATAACTGAGAAGCGGTCATTAATATTGATTTTGTGACCTGACATTAATAAATGCTTTGTAATGAATGATGCTAGATTCATATTCATTTCTTGGTAAACAGCCAGATATCGCACCGTCCCTAAAGATAATACTAGCTGGCCTTTGCATGTAGACCAAGACAATTGTCAGTTAATTTTAGTTGATACAATTTTCCAAATAAGTCAAGTGGTTACTGATTAGCACCAAACCACTCCAAACTGTAGAAGAGCACACAAAAGTAGAAGAAAGAAGAATAACAAAACTTCAGGGGACGAAAATATATCGGGATGAGAACAAGTTGACCAACTGGATTTCAGAGCAAAACTGTGTGCAAAAGTGCAGCAATTCAAGTCGCCACACAACATGTAGCACACAAATGTAGAGAGAAAAAATTCTAAGGGATTATAGTGAACAAAGATCAACAGGAGAGAGAATAACTACATTGAGAAAAATGATTTAGTAAATATGAGAGATTGTAAGGAGTGAATACACATGCTTTACTAAGAACGATTTTAAGCCATATCACCAACGGTCACAAGCCATTGGTTCTTAGCCTCCCCTCACACAACCAGTCTATAATTTTCTCTATATGGTTCAAAGCAAAAGAAAATGACTTTATCGACTAGTACCTAGTTTTGGTTTGACGACTTCTGACTCTTTCCCAACCTAATTCAATGTCAGCTAACACTGCTTGATTACGAAGGTGATGGTTTGGCATGCATAACATGTATTCTAGTCACCGTGGTAGATAGAGCTTCAGAGCCTCATTGATTGACTGGCTCTCCTTACCTGAAATTTCAGGTCAAACCCCTAAATTGTCTCCTGTATTATACCACTTAATACGATCATAGGTGCCTGCGTTCTATTTCCCGTGTAAAGTGGCATAATAAGGTGAGCAACATGGAGGTTAGGCGTGAGTTCTAGGTAAACAGAGGAAATCAATCGACGAAGTCGTGAAGCTACATCGACTGAGATGGTTAGGACATGTGTTACGTATGCCAAGCCATCGCCTCCCTCGACGAGCAATGTTAGCGGATATAGGGTCAGACTGGAAAAAAGCTAGCGGCGGTCAAACAAAAACTTGGCATCAGTCAATGAAATCCACAACAGTTGGTCTAAGCCACGTAGAAAGGTGTAGACTTCCAGGCTGGGGTCTTCGGGACGGTAAAAATCTATGGTTGGAAACAATTGGTGACATGGCTCAAAATCGTTCTCAGTGGCGCAGATGCATCCACTCCCTGTGACTTATGATCTCCAATGAAACTGTTTGTATTTCTTTATTACTCCTTTGTCTCACACCTCTGTTCACTGTTTCTATTATGCTTTTCTTGTACTTTCTTCTCTTGCTTCGCGTGCTACACGGAATGTGGCGACTTGAACTTTCGCACATTTGTGCAAAGTTCTATGTCGAAAACAGACAGACAGACAGACTTAATACGAGAGGAAAAAGTAAACAGGTGATCAAAGGCAGCTAGCTGATACAACACCCTATTTATAACTATTCGTCCTTGTTATACGTTCAAAACATTTTGACTGACACCGAATAATTTTTACGACTTCGCATTAAATCTACTAGTTAATATATATTAAAAATGTAAAACTACTGAGTTCCAACGAACATTATCATTTTACTTGATTTATAGTCTATCATGCAAACTTGCACGTGCTTTTTGGAAAGGTAGGGGTACTAGACTTAGTCATCGTTGTAAACATCTAATGCTGGGCTACGACATAACATAATAGAATAATATGTTGGTGCCAACAAAAACGATCAGTGTATGCAAAGACAGACCTGTAGATTTCTACTAATCTGTTCCCACAGAATCTGACTGAAAACTGGCACCGCCATCTAAGCATGCTAGTTGAAAGATTTGTATTCTGAAACTTTACAATACCACTGAAGACTATTAGAAGGTTATTACTGTTATACGAGAAAAGACAAGCCCGTTGAAGGCTGATGAAGTTAAACTAGGATAAGTATAAAAGTTTGATAATGGTAATAATGTGACAAGTATTCCAAGACGTGCTATTATTTCTTGACAAAATCGAGATTAGATGCGGCCAGTTACAAAACATTGGTGTCCATTATGTTTTGAATTCTTAACAGGTATTTTTTGGAAGAACTGATCAGAATTCACAGGGCTTAAAACTTTCAGAATGACTGAATCTCAACATAACTTAGCACAGAAGTGCAGCACTTTGAGTCGCCACACTACTAAGCACAGAAAGTTAGACATAAGTGAAAAAAATATTTAGAAGAGCAGCAATTTGAAAGAATGGTAACATGGAAAACATTGGAGTTTAGTGAAGATGGGAGAGCATAAAGAGTGTGCACATCTGCGCTACTGATAACGATTTTGAGCCACATCACCAGTAGTCTTCAGCCATTGGTTCTTAGCCTCTTCAGATCCCCAACCAGGCAGCCAGCACTTGCCCACGTGGCTAGAACTACTAAAGATCTAATGGGCTGAGGCCAGGTTTTGGTTTGATAACTTCTAACTCTTTTCCAACCCAATCCTATGTCGGCTAATATTGCCTATCGAGGAAGATAATGGCTCGGCATGTGCAACACATCTCCCAGCTAACTTAATCGATGTGGCTTCACGACCTCATCGACTAACTTCTCTTCCTTACCGGACACCTCGCCTAACCTCGATATTACTCACCATATTGTACCACTTAACATGGGAGAGAGAATGGAGACTTCCAAAATGATACTTTGTTGCTTGTTTCAGCTGTCCCTTGACATTAGCATTCAGTTACTCTAATATATCAAGTTTCACTGTACACTTCCAACATCATATAAGGGACCTGGAATTCTAACAAAATTCTGTTATTTACAGTGTTACTATCCTAAAGGTTTTGGTGAGGGTAACTAATAGTAGGATTCAAGACAAATTTATTATCAGACTTAACTACCATGTTTCGCATCATTAAAGTAATACGATTTTTGAAGGACTGGTGTTAATGAGTGTCAAGGGGGGGGGGGGGAGGAAAATGCATAATACGATAAGATAATCAGGATTTAGAGAGACGTAAGTTATAGATATACCTGGCATAAAGTGACCTTAATTACATGATTTTTAACTATCAATTCAAGCTGAATTCGAAGTTTAGTGTAACTCTGTAAACAACAACTTGGAATACTTCGATTTTACTAACACACTACTTAACGATGGAGATAGGCCTAAGGGAGTCAGCTAGTGGATAATGCAATAAATAATTTTCTCAGGACTTCCAGTGGTTATTATTATCACAACTAATAAAGTATTCAACAGATTAAAGTGAACAAGAATACAGAATAATGGTTATCGTAGTAGTCAATCACAGTACAATAAGAGATTTAGTGAGTAGATACATAATTGAAGGGCTACTGCAAATAAGCAAATTGTCAAACTGTTACTCTAAAGCAAAATCTTTACATTTGCAAAGACTCGCCACAAGCATTTATAATTAAATGGACGAGAAAACAGTGTATTCACAAGCCATAAAGGAAAGATTAGCTTCTGTAGAAGCACAACAAAGAATAGCGACCACAGCCACCAACAATCCACCAAACGACTATGAAAGCATCAGACTGTCCTAACCTTTTAAGTGAGTAAAAACTAGTTTGACTTAGTTGCCTCAGAGACATTTAACTAGTCATTAGCTGTTGATTGTATAATTATCCACAAATAATCTTTGTAGAATGGAACTGCAACATTCAAAGTAACTTGGCAAACAACAATGGGGAGTACCTGTATGAATAGTGGAATGTACACTATTTCTTAATTAGTCATGAGACCTAATTTGGAGGTTACTAAACAGTTTAGTACACTTAAAATAACAATTAGTCGAAAGTGTTTTGAGATTTGGTCAGAATATGTTTTAAAACATTATAAAAGGCTTCTGCATCTAAGAAACTAAGCCATTTTCAACCCAATAAAATAACGAAAAGAGCGACAATATGGTTTTGGTACACTATTAAACTAAGACAGAAGTGTCAGAAATGTAACCAGTTTTCAAAGAACTGAGTTAAGCTGTATTTCAGAAACATAACGATGTAAGTGCACCTACAGTTAAGCAACACATGACCGTCAGAAGCCTAAGTTTGTTGTTCAACTCAATGAGTGGAAATAAAAGTAAGACTAATGAAATCAAAAGTTGTTAGACTTACGACGAATCCTCCACATTGGTGGTATTTATATATATCTGAGAAGAACTGATCCAGATTTTGTATGTGATCCCATGCTCCTCTTTTGCCATAAGCAGTATTCACTCTAACATTTGTATCAGTGTGTAAGTGATCGTCTTCATTAACCAAACTCTCGTACTTCCCTTGACCAACAGGAAACATTTTGCACTACCGGACGGTTAAACATAAATAAAAGTCAACATTATTGCACCGCCAGTAGCTCGCCCAAGGTCATTAGAGAACAGCTGACAAAGACCTTCATTAGTGAAGAAAAGCCCTTACTTTTTAAGTATAATGGATTGTCAAAAAAGGGTATTAATAAACAATAAGAGAACGATGAAATAATGTTTTCGACCATAAAAATCACTAAGTTGGCAAAATAAGTTTGTTTTATAAGGCTAATATATACTTCACGAAAACATATCAAAGCGTTTTTTCAAAATTGGCGAAACACAACAATGCATATAGAGTCAGAAAAGTGTTTCCATGGGTCCGATGCACAGTCGTTTCATCACATTTTCCATACTTTGCCCAATAAGCCCACCTCAGACTTGTCCAAATCACTGTTACATACTTTCTCAAGAGTTATAAGTTCTTCATCTTCAAGTAATTATTTTAATAATGCTACAAATAACGCTTCTGTGTCATCGGGAATAATGGCTTATATAAACGAAAGCACAATAGGTATTGATCAAGTGTTTAGAGGACCTTATGGAGACAGGAGAGGTGAGTTCATTTTCTGTGAACCAATATTTAACAGTTGTATATTGTGATTGGACTGCATCAGGAAGGTCTTTATCATTCATAGAGGACTTCATTCGTGCTGAAGTATTGCCAATGTATGGTAATACTCATACTACCACAAGTCTCAATTCTCTTCAGACAACCATGTTTCGTCATCAGGCAAGGGAAATTATTCGAAATTCTGTAGGTGCATCTGAAGAAGACGCAGTAATATTTGTTGGGAGTGGCTGTACTGGAGCCATTCACAAGCTCATTCATAATTTGCACCTTGAAAAGCCTCCTGTAATGTGAATTTTCTTTATTTCACTTATAGATTGTTATCGTTGGACCGTTTGAACATCATTCAAATATATTACCTTGGCGACATCTAGCCATGCGTATTACAAGAGTAGAAACAGATTTCTCAGGGACTATTTCTCTGGAGTGTCTGGAAGCTATTCTAAAGGTAGATTAAGTATGTATGTAACCTGATAATTTTGCTATGAATATTAACCAGTAAGTAAAATATAAAGGAGTTGAAATCAACGAAAAATCCTTGCACGCATTCAATTTTCCAAAGATATCAGCTACTAACGCCTGTAGTCTTGAACACATCACGCCACATCTCAGAAAGATTTCACTCAGGTGTTTTTCCGATATAGGTTATATCAGGTTGTGCGGAAAGTAGCTCTAAACTAAATAAATATTCCAAGCTATAAATTGAACAGTCAGTTAGACGCATTCTATATCGTGCCCTGGGAAATACTTTAAATTGTTCCCCAATGCTACTGTAACTATCAAGTTTGTATTCTTTTATTAAATCTGAATTTCAAGTTACAGGAATTCAGTCGGACTGAACTCTACATTTGTTGCTCAGATTGTTATCAAGAATACACTGATTTTATGCAATCTAATTGAAGAAATTAAATCTTGTTCATAAAGCCAGCATCAAGTGAAGAGCTGGAGACTTTCTGAAAAAGGTGAATGTCCGATTGGTGTAACAACTTGCAGGCTGTGGATCCTTGGTTGAGTCCACACTTCCAACGTACCCTAATTTTTCCTATTTAAGTAGTGGTTTGAAGTTTCTCAGAAGCTGTTGTGTTATTGATCAGTCAGTGTCAACAAATTCGGTTAACTTTTGAGTCCTAGGAATTAATGAAGATTTCCCTACAGAACTAAAAATTGGCTCTTATCCACTCCGTTTAAGACGGTTTTAACCTTTTCCCACACATTAGTAAAATCGTCATCTGATTTTGGGTTCAATTCAAATAGGATATAGAAGAATGTAAAACTTTTTTTATATTCTTTCACTCACATATTTATTTACTCGTTATTTATTTCTTGTTCTGTGGTGTATTTTATCTTGCGTTACTTGCATAAATGTGGTGGAGTGAAGTATGAGTTATTCAGACTTGGAAAACTTTTGAAGGTTTTTGGTCTATTTCATATCCCATTAAAGTGAAGAAAAAAAGTTAACAAAACAGTTTGATCATATGAAGCCAGACCCATCATGTAGAACCTTTAAAACTAAAAAATATGTATAGAATAGTACAGTAACTTGGGTTTTGTATTTAATGGCGCGAAGTTTACCATATTATTTTTACTGGTACAACGTATATTAAGGACCTAATCTAGTTTGAAAATAGTTAAACTGAAACAGTTCTAATTGTAGAAACTTAGCCAACATTCACTTAATGTCAGACGTGGATAACCAATAAACTGCTCTTACAAAATACGAGATCTATTTCGAAGTGAGAAACGTAGACTGAGGATGGCCACTTAACTAGCTGGGGCCCGTACACAAATGATAGAACATAACACGAAAGAGTGCCAAATGGCTTGGATGTTTGACCATTTATCATCATCCTAGCAACTGAACTCCAACAGTAAAGGTTAGTAACCAGTTTTGAATGATTTTCAGAATTTACTTACAACTACACTATCTAAACGTCTACTACATTTACAAGAGTTACATTCAGTTATAAAAGTGGATGTAGCTTGAAAATACGAACAAAACGGTGATACAGTACTTAGTCCCAAAACGCAAAATACTTACTGGAAGATATGTTCGCGCTGCTGACCCTTTGTCTATAATGGTTCTTATAATCTAATAACAAATGGATGAAAAGCGGTACTATACATTTTGCCGTAAAGTTGACTGCTAAGTGTAAGTAAGTGTCGTTATTCTTATGCTCTTAATACATCTTCCAGTAAATATATCGATATTTATACCAATTATTCTTGTTATAATTTCAATCTATGCATACATTTAGGTTGAAAGTGCTGTAGCAAAAGAGCAAGGCTGTAAATTAATTGTTTGCATGGCTGCTGCTTCTAACGTAACTGGAATTTTGGTAGATGTCGACGCATTCTCTAGTCTTATTCATCGATATGGTGGACTGGCGTTTTGGGATTATGCTACTGCAGCTCCTTATATAAAAATTGATATGAATCCAACTACCTCAGGGTACGTCGGCACGCTGGGTTTGTGATTAAAATTAAAAATAGAAACTTTAACTACAAAACTTTTAGGAAGCGTTGAAGATCTCGTGAAAGTAGGCTTATTTAACTGCATAAAAATTCAGAGATTTTATCATGACAAGGTTAAAAGCATTCAACTTTTGCACTTTTATTGAGGAATTAATAGAATTAAGCTCATGATTTATCTTGAGCACACACTGGATTCCAAACTATGATGTGATTACTTCGGGGAATGAAGTGTGTTTGATGTTAGACTCTACGAAGAATTTGACGAGAAGCCTAGCATTTATTTTGTAAGTCTACCAACACATATTCCCAACGTATAGTTTTAGTAATTCCAAAACTTTTTGTCTTTAAAAAGATATGTTAATTTGCATACCTACACTTGTATACTTTCTCCGAAATTTCATATCACTGTGCTTTTATTCGTATAATATTTCGTATGACACTAGCCTTCCTAAATACTTACTTTTTGGGGATCGCGACATATATCGTGAATGGGTAAAAGTTAGAAATGACGGGCCAATGGATTGCAGCCTGGTAGGTAAATCATCAGCTAGCTCGATGTGTAACCTAAAGGTCCTTGGTTCTATCCCTGATGGGGTATGGGTGTTACTAATGAAGAGTTACAAGGAGGGACAAAACAGTTGCTCAGTACTCGCTGTTACTCGTTAGTTCTCTAAATGAAGTCTGTCAGTGATTAAACCTGAAATCTGTCAACAAATATTAGCAACTGTCTATCTATCTAACCTTTGGTAGTTTAAAAAGCTCTGTTGTGTCGAAGAGTTTCAAAAAAGATATAATTCAGCCCGAAGTAAATATGGAATTTTACTCGTTGTAGAGCTTTCCTTATTGTTTGATGTTTGCTGTAGCGTTAGTGGTTTTATAGTAATTAGTTGTAAGCAAAGACTACAGAAGAATCAGAAAAGACAGGACTTCAAGTGAACACATAGAAGACGGAGTTGATGAAAATAACCAGTCAACAACAACAATGAACACCAGTTACCATCAAGGAAATGAATTTGAATGGGTCACTTTCTTCACCTATCTAGGAAAGAGAGATTCAACTAAGGGTGACATAGATGAGGAGGCGAAAACCAGGATCAGAAAGGCGAGATAAACTTTCACCACTCTGAAATCATTTTGGAAATCTTCTGAACTCATCAAGAAGAACAAAATCCGAATTTTCAACATCGATGTTATGTCAGTTGGTGCTTCCAAATGGGTCAGAAACTCAACGTGCACGTTATGAAGGACATTGCCAGCGGGCTACCGTAGGCTTTTTAACTGAAGATCAGATGGTCAGCCAGAAAGAATAACAACAAGGGACTCTGGAAACGAGCCAACCAAGAACAAATTTACCCAAAGAAGATGGAGAAGGATTGGACACATGCTGAGGAGGCAGTTGGGTGATATCGCTCTCCAGGCCACCGCCCAAGTGGAACCCGAATGGGAATGAGTCTGTGAGTGACATGTAGGAGATGAGAGGCTGTGGGCAATTGCGGAGTCAGCTGAAGAGGACCTACTAGGATAGGACGAAGTAGAGATGTTCTCTTGAAGCCCTATATTCTACTCTGCTAAATAAGATGACGAAGCATTTACCTTTCTACGCCTTCAGAATTTATGGGGAGTCGTTTGGTTTAATCACTGGCAGAATGAAAGCCGAAATAGGTAAGTAATTTTTACTTCAACCCACTTTTTATCTTGGTACATATATGTTTATTTACTATTGTCTATTTTTTCACTTTTCCCTATTAAACAGACCTGATCGTGATTCTGTGTACAAAGATGCAATTTATTTTTCTATGCACAAATTTATTGGTGGTCCACAAACGCCTGGTGTACTAATTGCTAAACGGTGTCTTTTTAAAGCTGGTGAAGCTCAACCAAGTGGTTGTGGTGGTGGTACAGTGTTTTTTGTTCGCAGAGATCAACATGTATATCTCAAAGTACGGACAGGCTAATATCTTTGTAGCCATGAGAGTTTTTGTGCTCTTCTGGTCTTTGATGAATTGAAGTTAGTCGAATAGGCGCCTAAAAACAGTCTTTTTCATGCATGCTATATGTGTTTGTCGTTTACATGTGTAAACAATGATGGAGGAAAGTATTGGGGGTGATTGTAGATAATCTGATAATGTTGTAAGATTTTTCAAGTACTGACAAGTTTCAATGCTTCTAGGAGGAATGGATGAGGCAGATTGTTTTAGGTGGTACTGCAACTAAACTACCTTTGGTGGCATCACAGTACTTTTAATTGAAATATGAGAGCGCTTATTCTAGAACAATCATATAGGGAAAAGTATATAGCTATCGATAACTTTTTATTCATTTAAGCCAATACATTTATAAAAGTCACCAGGAAGGTGTACCTATGATGTTTGGAAGCCTTGAAGATGATGAAAATCAGTTAAATTTATGATACCATAGGTATGATAAAGAGAACGTTTGTGTGCACTTTTTTGATCTTCTGTGCTTCAGTTTTAATTCTCAGCTTTACTCCTGTTGGAAGTATTAGTGCATCTTGAAGTATTTCTCGAAACCAACTATAGGCCTTCAGTTTATTAAATGATTCGTTATTGAGATGATAATTTCACCTAAATTAGATGTATATTTTCCATTCGTAGTTTAATATGCTTTCTTTATGTGTTTTCTTTGACACTAAACTCTTCGCTTTACAAGTTATATCTTACGATACGATGGTTTGTTTCATTTCGCACAAACTAGCAGATTTACAGGCAAAAACCAAAAATCCTCCAACCGATCAAAACAAAAATCTCTACAAAACCAATACTTGAAAATTAACCTGATACTCACTAGCGACTAGTCCTATTCAGGAAGTTAATCTGGGGTTCTAGTGGGAAGCCGTGAGCAGTAGGGTGCAGCAAGTTGAAGATGAGGCAGTAACTCATTGAAGAACACATTGCAAAGTGGTTGCGCTATGTCATGAATTGGCAGAAGTTAGAGTTCATAGGCTGGCCATTGGATTGGGTCCCAGTGGCTTAATGGTCTACAAACTGGCCCGCCCTGTAATCAGAAGGTCGTGGGTCCGAACCTTATTGGTGGGTGCGCACTGTTGAAGAGTCCCAAACTAAGACAAAACTTCTATCCAATACTCCCAGGTTTTCCGATGGTGATGATGATGATGACCATGGTGAAATCCTCCAAAAATTCAAACAAAATCCCTACAAAACACAATACTTGAAAAAACCCGAAAATTCGCAGAGGAGGCAGAGAAGATAGGACTCCAGGTTAACACAGAAGTGATGAAGGTACCCAACTAGCACCAACCACCATCAAATGAAGAAATCTGTATAACATTGTTTCTGGGTAGTGTCCTTCCAACTACAGGTGTTACGGATTAGCACTGTCAAACCAAGAAAGAAGTTCACTATTCTGGAGCAATGTGGAGACCCAGAGTACTTACCAGAAGGAATAGTACCCATATTTCCAACGGTACTTTTAAATCACTGATTCTATGTGCTTCAGGGAATTGGGAGCGCCTCATAAAATATTTCCATCTAATGAGTTGAAGACTTTTATCAACAGCTGCTGCCTTTGTTCAACGGTGAAGATCAGACAGTCAGGATAAACAAGAAGTAACTCTGACAGTGTAGCGAACAAACCAGTAACCTACCAACCAACAAATACACATAAGGAAATGGAGATGGATTGGATAATATACTGAGGACATATCAAAATGACGTCATACGCCAGTTTTGCCCTCAAGTGTAAATCGACGAGTTAGGCGTCGGAGGTTACATGCAGAACATATGAGGAAGAAAGGATAGCTTGTGGGAAGTCGGGGAACCGGTCGAAAGTGATGACAGAGAACTGAGTGCAATGAAGATGTGCAGTTAGCCGTATTTTTAACTCGGAACCCATGGGATGAATAATAATAACAATAATGTAATATACTAAATGCATAGTAGTGGTGATAAGCCTTTCATAAGATCCAGTTAGTTAAACATTTAGCCTTAGTTTCGTTGGCGAAGGTCAGGTGTTTGATACCAATGTTCACTAACTTTTGACGAAGTCATCTTTAAATATCATTATTCCTAAAGTAAATATGTTTTTATTCTTTTTATCAACCATACAGGAAGTTGAAGAGCGTGAAGAAGGTGGAACACCAGCCATTATCGAGTCTATACGTGCTGGAATGGTTATGCAACTTAAACAGGCAGTCACTCCAGAGGCTATTATGGAAAGAGAAGAGGTTCATGTAAAGTAAGTAATCACAAATAATTCATTAATTAAAAATGTTTTGGTCTTTACCATGCAGTTCACTGTGATATGTCGATATTTAGTCAGCATTAACTGTTTTTCATGTGAACAAAAAGACTTTGCGAAATGAGTACTTGAGGCCAGTGAAATTGGCAGTTGCCCAAGTCTACCACATAGGGCATGATTCTGTCTAGTGTACTGACAGAAGTATTTATTGATATATTCATAGTTTTTTTGACCAACCCTACAGTTGTATGCTGTTCAGTCAACTCAATGTATATTGCCGACGTCATTTTATTATTGGTTTAATTTGTTCATGCATCCATCGGTTTCATTTAATTCTGTAAGGATTACAGCCTAGTCTTCCCGCTTTCGATCATTACAGCCTAGCTTGAATATCTAAGAGTTATGCAGCAGTATGTTTTAATCATTCCACACATGCTTCACCTATTATTCACTTAGGTTCCTAGTGACTTCATCAGTAGATCCCCATTTCATCCTGTTCTCTGCGATCTTTCCTAGTTGTTTCCACAACTGCTTCTTATACGATCTTTTCTGTACCACCCTCAGACCTATGCCCTACTTGTCGTTTCCCATTTAGATTCCATCCGGGGGCTACCATGTTATGTCACTTAAAGATGATCTCCCTAGCGTATGTCCAATCCATCTCCAATTCCTTCTGCATATTTTTTGGGTGAAAGGTTCTTGGCTGGTTAGTCCCCTGATTTCCTTGTTGTCGGTCCTTCCTGGTGGGCCTTGTAATCTTCAATATACAGCCAGTGAAGGCAGGTATTGATGAAAGTCTGCATTGGCCTATTGGAAATGATTTGGGTGACGTACGCGCCAAGTCTCTGAACCACATACAAACACTGACTCTAGTTTAGTGTTGAGAATCCAAATCTTGTACCTCAGTACTTTTATATTACTCGCAGATATATAATTCTGCATACAAGTGTTCAAGTAATAAGCCAATTATATTAAGACACTATTTATTCACTGTGTTCTGTGGTAATGTGTTTCAGTGCACATCTGAAATGGGTGATACATCATTTCAGTTATATGTTGACAAGAGAAAATTCAATAATCAGTCTGTTTTGTCATCTATATACATTGATTTTTCGATGTTGCTGTATTCTGTGAGTTGGATAGTTTAGTTGCGAAGCACTCATTATCTATCTGGACAACATTTTTAACGGTAACTTCATTGTAAATTCGTTTACTTTTAAGACTGTAGGTGTGTTGTCACATTTTGTTCTTGAAATTGGACATCATTGAGCGAATAGTATTAAACAAGTCTTGATTTCTTACTTATCTTCTTAGAGTTTATCATTCTAAATACTGATAGATTTCAAAAGCTTGACATCTTAACTGACGAAAATCAAAACAAGTGATTCAGTGAAGAGACTCTTTTCAACGAATTTATTATCGAGCTGTACAATCGTATATATATGGCTTTTAAGAAATTACATCCGGTGAGGGAATTAAATCATACATAGGTGTGAATACATAAAATAATAATTGTATGTAATGCAATTAAAGTGTTTGTGATTATAATCATAGTTAAATGTCAAGTGGCAAAACAAGAAGATATTGCAAAGTGGTCGCGCTATTTCATGTATTGGCAGAAGTTAGAATTCATGCTCTGGCCATTGGAACGGGTCCCAGTGGCTTAATGGTGTATGAGCCAGCTCGCATTGTAACCAGAAGGTCCTGGGTTCGAACGCTTCCGGTGGGTGTGTACTGTTGAAGAGTCCCATACTAGGACGAAACAGCTGTCCAACACTCCCTGCAGGTTTTCCAATGGTTCTCTAAATGATGTCAGCTCATGATGAAATCCTCCAACCATTAAAACAACCGGTATCATCTATAGAGTAATTCATAGGATGTACTGAACTTCGAAGTGGTGTGCAATTATAGGATTAGTAGGTAAATCGAATAAAGTGAAAACGATACGTAACATTTTGTGATATTTGGTAACTTAGAATTTAACGTCTCAGAACAGAAGAGATTTAGAATGACAAGTGGAACGAGTGAAATAATACTGGGGACAGTTCAAAGTGAGAATAGTAATACTAACAGTTGACGTAATAAAGGAAGAGTATACAAACGAAAAAATATTGGTAGAGCCAAAGTTAGATTAGAGATTACCATACTTTAGTATAGAGGGATTATGACCATGAGAGTTGAATGAGCTGAACGAACGTTTTCTGTATACAGAGATCTGGCTTTTCTGTTTCGACAGCCAAAGCTTCAGCAATACAGATGAGTCGGGTACGTAGTGATTTGGGCAAATTACTTTTCACCTTGTAAATAACTTTAAAGTCGGAGGCTGTAAAGACCACAAATAGGGGAATTTTGAAATACCAATTTATTTCTATTCATTAGTTAAACATTTAGGTAGGTGACCTGAGTTTTTCCGAAACCTCCGTCAACTGGTATAGACTGAGACAACCTGAAGTTTAGACATCTTTTTGGCTGTCTTGAGTTTTTTGTGTGCACTAGTGTGTAGATCGCAATCATGTTCTCATTTTTTGTCTTTTAATTCAGTTAAGCTAATTTTCTTCTTTTGTTCCCTGATTAGTAAGTAAGCTAGAATAAATCTTATATTTAAAAAGACGGTTTCAGCGAAGGAAATTTTCTTTTTGATAAAGTCATCAACTAGGCTGTACATTTATGTATTTATAGTAAATTAACTTAATTTTATTATAGCTTGACTCTACACGCGTTTCTGAAACAACTATGGAATTTTCAGTACATGATATCGGTAGCCCAAATTTAGCAGGCCGACCATTGATATCGAGTGTGCGTCGGCCAGGGAATCGAACTCCGGACCATGTGCATGGTCGGCGAACGCCCCAACCGCTGGGCTACCGACGGACATGAGTGAGGAAGTGCAAGAACTATATCTGGTCAAGGGTCAGATTAAGGAGATTATGAATAATGACAAAAATAATGACAGCATAAAACAAGAAGATCGGATGAAAACACAGCGGGATCATAATTACTGAGAAAATTGACTTTTTGTGCAATTAAGGATTAAAAATGTAGTCAAAATGGAAAAGACATGAGTCCGGATAAAAAATGCAGTAGTGTAAATAAGGGTATAAAGGAAGTAAAAGTAACAGAAATAAACAGGAAGTTTGGATAAGAAAGGTAATACGATAATCAATATTGGTAGAATTAACTATTTATGATGACCATGGTAGGAACAAAGTTTGGATGTATTTCTTTTGAATGCATATAGTGAGCTGCATTTTTCCGGTCACTGGTGCCTCTGTTATACTCAGATATCTTGATCTCACTCCAGTTGAGACCTTCGACCAGGTCTTGTGCAGGACTTTGGAGGACTTTCTCAATGGAGCTGAGTGTCCTGTTACCGAACTGTCTACACACTTGCGATCTCCTTTTGCTAAACGGGCTGAATAGTGTTCCCGAGCACGTTTTATAGACAGACGCATCGTACAGCGGTTGTACTCGGCTTCACAAGAGCAAGTGAACTGGTATATGCATGCTGATGTGGCCGAATGAAAAAGCTTGTCTTTCCCCTGCCGGTCGAGTAGATTCTTAGAAGAAAGTGTCATTCATAAGTTGGCAGTGAAGTATGTTTCACTGAGAGATTTCTAAGGCTGTTTACAGAGAATTTCTACATCAGTATCACTTTTAAATTCGCGATTAAGCATCAGCATCCCTTTGGAAGCGAATTGGACCTATTCAGCAGTTTTCTTTGGTTTCAGGTTCCTGTCTATGAATCTGGGTGGGAAACCATTTTCCATCAAGATTCCTCGGAGATTTTTCGACTCTTCATCTATAAACTCCTCGATACATATTATCCCTTGATCCTCAGGGAAGAGAATTCATGGGCTTTCTCTTTCTACCTAGAGGAAAACAAGTTTGAAAACTGATAAACTATCCGTTCCGCGTGGGCTTTTTGTGTATGGATCTCCTCAGCGAGTTATAAGTCTAACGCTTAATTTGTATATACAGAAACTGTTAATAAGTTCTGATATTAGTTAGTATAGCAGTGCTGTGCTGTGTTAAGCGTTTCTTTTCCATTCATCTTTTTTTGCTTTCTGAAGTGTTCATTCTGAAAGCCTGAAAATGTATGTTTGAATAGATTATGGAATTGACGGAAAACCATTTATCATTCAAAGATTGGTGCTACAATCTACCTCCATTCAGTGTCCTACTCCATGCAATTGTTTTTGTAAGAATAATGTGGTAATCTCAAAGAAGTGGACCTTGAGAACACCGTGCACTGTTCCAGAGTTTAAAAAAAGAAAGGAACAGTTGTGTAGAGCATCTTAGTTCTTAATTTCTCACTAAATAATGTCAGTTAATCTTAACTTAATACTCCAAAGGTCCAACGTGCGAATATGACTAACTGACTGAGTTCCAATGCAGAGCTTTGCTCAGAAGTGCATCTGTTCAAATTGTCACATTTTGTGTAGCACGCAAAGATAGAGAAAAGAAAGAGGAACATATTTAAAACTATAATGAGCAGAAATGCACGGGAGAAAAAACAGTAACATGCAAAAATATGAAGATTTAATCGATATGGAAGATCAAAAAGGACGAATGCATCTGGACCACTAGGAACAATTTTGAGCCATATCTCCGACAGTCCTAGCTGTTGGATTTTAGCTTTCCAAGGATCTCAACCAGCTAATTTATACCTCTCTGTGTGACACAAACCAACTGTCAAAGATCTCGTAGATGGATCCAGAGTTTCTGTCTGACCACCCACAACTCTTTTTCAACCTGATCCCATGTCCGATAAGATTACTCAACGAGGAAGGCTGTTGTGCGGCATGCATCAAAAGTGTTCTAGCTATTTCAATCGATGTGGCTTTACAGTCTCTTCAGTTGACTTTCCTACATTGATGCCTAATCCCAATATTGCTTATCATATTGTACCGTCTAACATAGGAAATAGAACCCAAGCATCTGCGGTTAAGGACAGCTATCCTTTTCATATCTTCCGTCTCTAATGGCCATGTTTCACAGCCATAAAGGAGAATAGAGAGAACTGATGCGCAGTACACATGTTCTTTGATCGATAGCTGGATATCGCATTTACGTCAGAAACGCTCAGAAATATACTTCAGATGAATAGTATAACAGTGATGTGTGACTGCGGACGATTCAGAAGACTGATATAAATAAAACCTAAAGACATGTTGTGATAAATCTTAACTCGTAATTCATTAAATTATTGGGTAATTTACTATTTAATAGCGAACATTTATGAATTGATTACTTCTTAAATCAAAACAACTTTTTTAATTTTAATTATTTCATCTGATGTTTTTCTTTTGACAGGCGTGTATGGCAAAAACTATCTGATTGTCCAAATATAATAGTACTTGGTGGAAACCAGGCATCTCGGTTACCAATAATTTCTGTTGTCATAAGGCATACATATCCTGTCAATAAAAATATTATTTCATCGAGCACTACTCATCTTCCATGCTTATTTTTACATCATAATTTTGTTGCTTCTCTTTTAAATGATTTATTTGGTATACAAGCACGTAGTGGATGTGCTTGTGCTGGACCTTATGCTATGGATTTACTGGGTATTGATGAAGCATTAGCAAAACTTTATGAAGAAGCGTTAGTTGGATGGTAAGTTAATTGCTTTTTATATATTTATATATATTTTATATTCCCGATCGCAGTAGATTGGATAATGCGACAGACAACGGGCAATGAGGAAACAGGCATAAATGGAACCACACAAAAACTTGGATGATCTGGACTTCGCCGATGATATATGTCTGATTTCCCACAAACTGGAAGATATGTAAGTGAAAAGCAACAAGCTGGCGAAAGAAGCATCAAAGATAGGACTTCAGGTGAACATAGAGGAAACAGAGGTGATAAAGATTCCTGGCCAACAGCAACAACAACAACAGACGACAATCAGCATGAATGGGAGGAACCTGAAAGAAACAACCTCCTTAACCTACCCACCTACCTGGGAAGCATTGTTTCAACTACAGGCCGACGGAACTGATGAAGATATCAAAGCTAGAATCGAAAAGCAAGACAAGTTTTCATTACTCTTAAGTCTGTGTGGAGGTCAACATCACTCAGCATCGAAAATAAGATCCGGATTTTCAACTCCAATGTGAATTCGGTCAATGCTACTATACGGATCAGAGACTTGCACTGTGCGTCATAAAGATAATCTCAAACAAACTACAGACCTTTGTTAACAGCTGTCTTCTCTTAATACTACTTAAGATCAGATGGCCAGAATAGATCAGCAACAGGGATCTCTGGCAATGAGCGAACCAACGAGGAACCGATTGTGCAACAAATAGTCAGGAAGAAATGGAGGTGGATTGGCCGTACTCTGAGGAAACCATCAAGTGAGTGACATCACTAGACAAGCCATTGCTCTAGTGGAACCCGAAAGGGAAACGGTGAGTTGATCGTCCAAAGGTGACTTGTAGGAAGTCATGTGAAGAGGAGATGAAAGCATGTGGGCAGACTTGGAGCGGGGTGAAAAAGTTGGCAGAAAACCGAACGCAATGGAGACTTGGGCGGCTGAAGCCCTATGTTCTTCTAGGAATTAAAGGATATAATAATATATCTTAACTTTAATGGGGACGCTGAAACTGCTATTCAGGAAAAAGATGAGAACTATCGAAAAATAATTTTGGTATCTATATTCAGTAAAGTTTCACCGATTATATACTTGAAAATATCCTTATATTTCATGGAGAGTGGTCACTTTTTAATGGGACAGCTACTCAGGCTGTTACTCATAAATGGGGAATCATATAGGCCTTAGGATAAATCACGAAAACACGTTATTTCTTGTATAAAATGCCTGGCAACAACCAGGTATCATGATTATTCGTACCTGTGTTTCACGTGGAACATATAGTTTCAGTGACACATCTTCACTCCATTTAGTTGTCTGTAGTCCCTTTTCAGCTGGCTCTGTAACTGCCTCCCAAGCCTTCATTTCTTCTCCATATGATCATCAAGCCCGCGCACCTCTCGTCGCTTCTGACTGTAGATTCTACACAAGGGAAAGGGTGTGATATCAATTTGATGTCTACTCAGTGAATGTTGAAATCATCTTAATTTCCCTCTGGATATTTGTTAGGTGACAGGTTGTTGACTGGCTCGCTGCAGAGTCGGTGTTTCTTGTTGTTTATTCTTCCTGGTCTGTTATTTGATCTTCAATATCTAGACAATAAAGGCAGCTATTGATGCGGTCTGAAACCTGTTTCTTACACTTCGGTTTTATTATATTTTTTAGTTTGGTTGGACACTAGTTTGTAACTAGTGTAATGTGTCTAGTCCTTTGTTTGGTGCAGGCTGAATTCTATCAGTCATGTTGGCAAAATGGCCGAAATTCTAGGTGGCTCGCCATCATGATGCACTTTGAATAATTAATATTAGATGGTTGGGGCAATCGACAGGAAACCTCTTACCTAGGTTTCATGCTTGTTGGCATTCACAAATCAGTAAGGCGTATCTGCAGTCTTGAAGGAACTCATATCCCTTCTGAGATTCGAACCCGAGTCACCCGTTGCTGCGAGTCAGGGACGTTACCACTAAGCTATTAGGGCTACTGATTGACATGAGTTCCTCCAAAGGTTTCAGATACGTCTTGCTGACGAATGAGTGCCAACTAGCACGAAACGTAGGTTCAAGGCTTCCTGCGGCTTATTGCCTCCAACCATATTGTATCAAATATTTTTGCTGTACAATACGCTTGTAATTTTCAGCGACAATATTCTTTACAACGAAGTATGTGGTCAAGCATTTTTATGATTATAATGCTTCCCAAAACACTGAAACCAATGAACAGTCGATATTTTTGTAAATACTCCCTAAAGCATTCGGAGAGTATGTGAGTCTTCGAGGTAGTTTGGTGAACCACCCGTAAGATTATTCATCTTTCGAATACATGGTTTTTAAAGTTTCGTAAAACTTGGTTAGCATAAAAATTCGTAATTCTTTTCATTTTGCATTTCTCTGATTACACATAAGAATATTTAATTGATGGATGGTGACTAGCAGTGGGATCCAGGATGCGTATTTCGTCCTATTTGGAACTCGTCAGCTGGATGTACCTGCATTTTACCGTGAGTGATGATGTTCCCACCGAGGCTCGAACCCAGTGCCCATAGTTTCAAACGCCGAAGCGTTATCCACTAGACCACTTGAGTCACGACAGCTGGCCACCTCTTGTACAACGGGTCACATTAATTTAATTGATTTCTTTTTTCAATCGACGGGAAAATCAAAAATTCAATTCAATAATTAATATGACCCGTTGCACAAGAGGTGGCTCTCGTGGCCCAAGTGGTCTAGTGGATAACGCTTCGGCGTTTGAAACTATGGGCACTGGGTTCGAGCCTCGGTGGGAACATCATCACTCACGGTAAAATGCAGGTACATCCAGCTGACGAGTTCCAAATAGGACGAAATACGCATCCTGGATCCCACTGCTAGTCACCATCCACCAATTGTATACTAATTAAATGCCCAGACATCGTCGAAGCATTTTCCCAAGAAGCCGACATGTCAACCTGAGACCGAGCACTTCGGTCCAATCAATCGACGGGAAAATCAAAAATTCAATTAAATACACACAAGAATACTTAGCTATATTTAAACCTTGTCATCCTAGGTGAGAATACTTCACTTAAGAAGAGACCCATTGTCGTTAATTTCTCACTGTCCCCTCTCACCTGTCCTCTTAAGTGCATAACTTGAAAATAGAAATAAAAATAGTAGTAATATTGTATTTTATAAAAACTACAAACACAATTAATAAAGTGTCTTCTATCTTAGCGATTACAGGCAGTAATACACCTGTTTATTCTATGGTAAGGAAACTGATAAGTCCCATTGGATTTTAGAGAACAATCGTGTCCATTTTGAAAACAACTGTAGCAGCTAATTTCTATATATATATATATATATATATATATATATATATATATATATATATATATTAACGCTTAAAAAGATGAAATGGTATACAAAAAGTTATTTTGGTGATGTTATTCGTCTATAACAGCTAGGAGAATATTTTATTTGAGTGATATTCTCCTATGAAGTGAACGTTTTTAGTCTAAGTAAGTAGCTACTATGCACTAATTACCTACAACGGCGGGGCTGACTGTTATTTAAGATAACCAGTGACCTTTCAAGTGTTGGTTTGCAGGGATTTGTTTGTTTCAAAACTAAACATTGGCTATTGTTACGATGTATTTCGCAAATCAGGATTCATAGGCTATTGGAATACGTCCAAGAGGCTGACTAATCAACGAGCTAGTCTTGTAGCGTGCAGATCATGGGTCAGATTCCTCGGGGGTGAGGGTCATGGATGCCTGATGCCGAAGAGTCCCGAACGAGGACGAAGCAAGTGTCCAGTACTCCTTGGCTTTCAGTGGTTCGTGGTTGGTAACTAATACATCATTCTCCGGCATATTTCTACTGATAATCTTTGAAAACGGATCATCTTTCAACTTCACATTTGTTCGCCCAGAATGTTATTTTCACTATGAGTTGTCTTCATTTTTTTTACAAAACCAAGAACTTCGAAAATTTGATGTAAAGCATTCAGTGAGGTGACCAATATTACGTACATTATTAAGATTTTTACCTTAGCATTTTTATTAATGTGTGCACTACTAAATAATTGAACTAGTGATTGCAGTATTTTTTTACTGATATCGGTGAAGCATCAGTGCATTGTTCTAGCTAGAGAACAATAAAGGGAATTATTTTATTCATGGTCACGGGTGCGTACTACAAGAGAATCCCTAACTAGGACGAGAAAATCTGACTGGTACTAAGTGGTAGTTTTCAGGAGTCCTCTAGCTAAAGTCAATTCTTGATCAAACTTGAAAATAGCCAGTGACATCTGAATATAATTTTCTTAAGACATGATTGGTTAGTACAGATAAGAGCGTTGGATTCCTGTCCAGTTAGGACCATACTTACAACCGTCACTTATTATTATTATTGCCTTGGCTTCGAGTGGAACAACACATCTCCACTGTCTTCTATTTTCTGCTGTCGCTTCATCTGGGTCTACGATTTCCCATAATCTCCCATCTCCTCCATGTCACCCTCACACTGACGACCCACTAGTATTCCACTCATGCAACGGCCTGCATTGCACGCGACGTCATTCAATTGTCTCCTCAACGTGTTCCGATCCATGTCCATCTTCTCCTATATATTTGTTGAGCAATTGGCCCTTGCTTGTTGGATGGTTCCCAGCCTGAATTTCTTATTGCTAATACTTTCTGGCTATTTGATCTTAACATCTAACTAGACATAAATAAAAGAAAATCCTTGGGATTTACCATCTTATAGTTGTCGGGAAAGCATATATTTTCTTTTTAAACATGCATGAAAAATTTGGTCATACAATCAACAAATATAAGGTAACACATGTCGATTGGCTGTATCCTTCTAAATAATGCCTTCTATGAAGTTAAGGAAAAAAAATGCGTCCTTATTTGACCAAACCTAACTGTATTTATTAAAGTTATTTTTTTCTTAAAACTTTTACATGAATATAACCACAATGAATTCATAATTATTTCCTCTTTTTTTCAGCAACTTAGATTCGTCAAAACATAAGTTATCTGAGGAATATCCTAAAAGAGAAGTTATTAGGTATGCCGAAAGTGATACGTATTATTATGCCTTTTAGTGTGGAAAAATACTTTACTCATACTTTAAATCTTGTAACAATTTACTATTTTAAAATAATGAATTTCTTAAAATTTCTTATAACAGTCAACATGGATTTAATCTTCTTTGAGCTGATGGCATATATTCATGCAAACTTTTACTTGGTGAAATTTAACTGCCTGTCTTTCATAGATTTTTCTGATCTCCAGAATTGTTCAAGTAGGGTGGATAGCTCGTTTCATTCCTTTGCTTTTCGAGTAGAACGTAAGGCTTCAAGCTTCGCAGTTTCGGTGGCGATGTTATTTTTACAGAGTGAGGTTGATAGGTTCATTCCTAAGCTCGCCCCTTTTCCGTGTTTACCACTGGCTAGTAAACTCGGGAGGTTGGTGAGTGTGTCGGCTTGGAATCAAATGTCATACTTCTCGCGTTGCTTTCAGGTTTCAGTACCGTATTGTTTTTACGGGATGTAGGTACTGAGGATGTTGTATTTATAGAGGTCACCAAATATACTTTGATGTACTACCTTATATACATGTAAATATTCTTTTTCAATAAGCATACTGAATATCAGGTAGGTGGAGAGTGGGCTTCAACAGGATACATCCATTTCGCCCTGTTTTGTGCAGTCTTTTTTATCTGGTCCCACGACTGCCTATAAGCTTCCATCTTGCCTTCACACGGATTCTTCTATGTCCCCTAGGAGACAAGCTTAACTCGTTGTTTCCCATTTGGGTTTCACTTAAGGACTGGCCAAGTGTGAGGTGTCACTTAGTGGTCTCCTCAGAGTATGTCAAGTCCATATACATTCCCTTTGGCACATTTGTTGGGCGATAGGTCGTTGGATAGTTCTCTGCCTTCCAGAGTTCTTTGTTTCTAATCCTTGCTGACTATCCTGATTCAGTATTTTTAAGCTACACAGGAGAAGATCTAGTTTGGCGGCTAGTGCGATGATGAAGAGACAGTAGCGTTTCATTCATTCACATAGTAGCTGAGCATTATCATTAGTGATTGCATCGAAATAATGATCTGGCTAGCTGTTGGGTCTCGTAGAGTGCAGGACTAATAGTCCAGAGGCTGCTAGTTCAAATCCTACTGAGACGCAGATTTTCATTCATTTTCGTGCACTGCCATTAATTTTATATTATTATATTTTGATTAACGTTTAAAAGAGCTCGACTGCTAATAAATTCTATTTTGTTGTCTATTGATTTCCATCTTTTTTGTACCTTAAACAGACCAGGTTTTACTCGAGTTTCTTTTCCGTATTTTATGCCTGATGATGAAGCTGATTTTATTCTTGATGCACTGAAATTTGTTGCTACAAATGGTTGGATATTTTTACCATTTTATCGTTATAATGCAGCTACAGCTGAATGGACTCATTGTAATTATGATCCTGGAATCGGTCGTAAATGGTTAACAGATATACGTTATACTGATGATGGAATGATTTGGTCAACAGATTGTCCAAAACAAGAAATGCCTGTACCTCAAAGTTATTCAGTAAGTAAAAGTTTAGTGACAGAAGACAAGGGCCAGGCAACAGATCGATTACTGAGGAAATCAACAGATATTTATATATTTTTATGTACATTATCATTCGTTATTATTAACCAGAGAAACATTGTCTTCTTATTGGTTGTTTTCTCACTGAAAGTTATTCTACCATCTCTTTGTGACCGTTTCTTAGAAAGTTAAGCCATATATCTGAATCATATCCGCCCACGCAAACTCTACTGTGACTGGTTGTTGAGTTAGTCTTTGCCTTTGTTTTTCTCTGATGATTGAGATTTGGGAAGTAAACGTAAATTGCTGTCTGCCAATTTTGGCTAGCAGAGAGCTCTCAACACAAAAGTACTACTACTATTACTTGACTGATATTTTATTTATTCTGGTTAACAATAGAGGTGTTTATGTCCGGACTTAAGACATGTGAAACTAACCTATACAGTGTAAAATAAGCGAGAAGTTAGAATCCCATATATTTGATTTTGAAAGAGAAGTAACTGTTAGTGATTTCTGATATTAGCCCTATGTTTAGTAGTTCATTAGATTAGGATTATGTATGTCCCCACTACTTAAGAAAAGTAAACCACTGCAATAAGTGAACTGGAGCTTAAAGGTTAGCATAGGCAATTTTTATGAGCATTATATATGCCTGTTTCTGTGTGACACTTATGGTCACCGGACGTGGTCAATAGACATAAAACTTTCCTTTGAAATGATGAGGAAATTATTTGCTTTTGCACAGAAATCTTTATATTGACTTGGAATGGAAGCAAATGTCTGTTAAAGATTTTGAGATTAGTGCCAAAAATATTGTAAGCATTGCTTTTTAATATTTCAAGATTTGTCAGGACTTGATTTCAGTCACAGAGGCATTGAAAAATAAGGTGTACTCCACTGAGACTCTTTACCAATGATCTCACCAAGGATAAAAATCCAGAACTTTCAGTAACAAGGAGAAATCTTAGATCATTCGGTGACTGAAACAGAATCCAGTAGTTCGTGAATCCTAACTTCTACTATATAGCGCGACCGCCAGAAACTGTCGTCGATGAGTTTTCATCCTTACATACCACTTGATGGACCTTATTGATGGTCACTACTTCCCACTGGAATTTCAGGAAATTTTCATCCGTCATCAGTGACTAGTGAGCACTAGATTAATTTTCTAGTGTTGGATTGTAAGGGTTTGATTAATTTCGAGACTAACATCATGAACTGACTTTAGTATATTTATTTTGATATACGAAATGGAGTTATTTTACTCATGTGAGAACAGTGGTGAAAAATACATGAGTGTTCGTTGTACTACACACTTGAAGAGAAACCACAAGGCAAATAATGCTATCGTTAAATGTACAGTATAAGTAAAGCAAGGTTGACTTTAATAACTAGTCATGACAATGGTTGTGAGAGGAGACAAATATGTCATTTTTCGAAAATTTGGATAAGTTTACTTCATATTACATCCTGCTCTGAAGATGTTATCTATAAGGACAACGAAATCTTCGCAATTAAATCACCCGGCTTAGAGGACTAAACTGTATCAAAGTTATAAATCTTCTTTATTCATTCAAAAGGTGAATATCCATCGTCTGAAGTAGATGAAATGAAGAATGTACTGCTAATGCAAGGACTCGCTACCTTTGACAGAAATGTTGACTGAGATAGAATTAAATTGAAAAAGAGCGATTTGTGATCCATCAGTATATGACACCATTCCATACAGTTTCAGTTTTCTATATTGGGAGGTGTAGGCTGCGGCTTGATCTGAATCACTTCTGTTTGCCGTTTTACTCTAGGGCTGAATACACAGAGAAAGGGTTTTTAAAAAATTTGAAAATGCTAAAATCTGACAAATATATTTTATTTTTTTGATTTACAGCTTGATTCCACACTGTACTTTTGTTACAAGTATGGAATTTTCAGCATGGATATCGTAGCCCAAATTTCGCAGGCCGACCATAGATATCAGGTGTGGGTCGGCAGGGGATCGAACCTCGGACCATATGCATGGTCAGCGAGAGTCCTAACCACTGTGCCACCGACGCATATTTACGATGATGGTGTTCACAGTCCCAACATAGTACCAATGATTATATTTCATACTGCATAGACCAAAACATACTCATAGGATTACAGTACAACTATGTGTTTTAATTCGGTAGTATCTAAGACTTCTGCCCGAACTTTGTATCCTAGTAATTTTCTGTTAGTTTGTGCATTACTTGTGAGAGATATCGGTCTCCAGATAATCATGAAAGGAAGTTGGATAGTTTCTTATTTCATTTGTTAGCTACGGGATAGTTTACAGTAGTTCGAATTTCTGATTAGAGCATATTGGAACATAATACGTTATGGAAAATCGCCTAATTCTGTTCTACACTGACAAGTTGTTGAGGTTTGAAGTTATTCACTACTTTTGTAACGACCGAAGACAAGGCCAGGGAACAGATCGTTTATTGAGAAAATCAAGAGACATTTATAGACTTTCATGTACATTATTGTTGGCTGGTTGTCTTGTTGATGAAGATTATTCTGTTATCTCTTTATGGTCGTCTCTCAGAAAATCAAGCCATGTATCTGCGAATCATATTTCCACACATAAACTCCGCTGTGATTGGCTGGTGATTTTCTCAAGGTTAGGCCTTATTATTGTTTTTCTAATGATCCTGATTTGGGACGTGAACATTGACGTAAATTGTTGTTTGCACTTCTGGCTTGCAGACAGCTCTCAACACACTTTTACTAGAAGATATTATTTTATTACCGTCACTAGATCTAAGCCTATTGCCAAAATTATTTCTGTTGATTCGTTGGTCATCGAAAAATTTCGACGTGCTTCCTAGACCTACTGAAATCTATGATTTCTAACCTATTTGTTTAGTGCAAGTCTTAGACATATATCAGATAAGTTATTTATTATTAAAACTCAAACTACTTACATTATGGACACGCAGAGATCTCGCCAGGACGCTCAGGCTGGAGCAGATAGTTTTCCTAAGAGGCTGTCCTGGAGCTTTTGACTTGAAGTCTGATCCACAAGACAGTAGGGCAGTGTCAAGAGCTGCATTCCCACACTTTCCAGTGACCAAAACAGGTTCATACGCCATTGGATTTAATAGGATTCTAGAGCCCATGTATGCTACGGGTTTGGTATCAGGGTTTTCTGGCTCTCCAGTTGTCTGAGCCAGACACTTGCATACACCTTTTTAACTTTGTAAGGAACACTCAAGCTGTGGCGTGAAGGTAATAGATAGGATTTACCTGGTAGAGGCTAAGAACTTATGGGCACATGTCAGCATTTTGATGGGAAGACTAACGCCTACCCACCCTTTAGACCCACCGAAGATGAAGTCCTCAGCCACTAACAGGAACTGGGGAAAGAATATAAATGTATATATACAGGTGTGGTGAGAGCAGGCTGCTAGCCGATTGGTTGGCACTAATCTACGTTAAGGTCTAGGTCACTAATATGGGCCGTGAGAAAATATGAACAAGACTGAGTCAACAACCAATCACAGCAAAGTTAACGTGGCAAAATGTGATTCGCAGAGAGAACTCGATTTGTCAAGGAATCCCGAAACAACCAATCAGAAGCCTGCGTTTGTCTACCTAAACAACCAATCAGATGACTGCGCTTGTCTATAATAATGTAGTTGAAATATGTATAAATACGTGTTGATTTTCATAATAAAACGATCTGTTGCCTGGCCCTTGTCTTCTGTTGTTACATTTGGTGTCGCTGCCTACCGACAAATGAAAAGCCTATACCCTGCAGTTTTTGATGGAGACATATGGATCTTCGGGCAGGACTTCAAGGCTTCTGCGCAGTTGAGTGGCGTTCAAGATCTGCCAGCGATGGAGCTGCTACTTGAGACGCTGCTGGGAGGTCGGGCGAAAGCAGCATATGAAGGTGTCGGCCGAAGTATGGACGAATGTTCGACAGGGTCAGGCAAACAGTTTCCAAAGTGGGAAGGACCATATATGGTCACTTCGAGATGGGGTTACGCAGACACAGTCGCAATGGCGAACAATGAGAGGCGCGTGAACGTCAGCGAGCTCCAGAAATGGATACAGCGAGACAAGCCAACGATGACGCCTGCACCAAGTAGATCAAGCCGACTTCAGTCGCACGTATTTGACGGGGGGACGAGTGTGGTGAGAGCAGGCTGCTAGCCGATTGGTTGGCACTAATCTACGTTAAGGTCTAGGTCACTAATATGGGCCGTGAGAAAATATGAACAAGACTGAGTCAACAACCAATCACAGCAAAGTTAACGTGGCAAAATGTGATTCGCAGAGAGAACTCGATTTGTCAAGGAATCCCGAAACAACCAATCAGAAGCCTGCGTTTGTCTACCTAAACAACCAATCAGATGACTGCGCTTGTCTATAATAATGTAGTTGAAATATGTATAAATACGTGTTGATTTTCATAATAAAACGATCTGTTGCCTGGCCCTTGTCTTCTGTTGTTACATTTGGTGTCGCTGCCTACCGACAAATGAAAAGCCTATACCCTGCAGTTTTTGATGGAGACATATGGATCTTCGGGCAGGACTTCAAGGCTTCTGCGCAGTTGAGTGGCGTTCAAGATCTGCCAGCGATGGAGCTGCTACTTGAGACGCTGCTGGGAGGTCGGGCGAAAGCAGCATATGAAGGTGTCGGCCGAAGTATGGACGAATGTTCGACAGGGTCAGGCAAACAGTTTCCAAAGTGGGAAGGACCATATATGGTCACTTCGAGATGGGGTTACGCAGACACAGTCGCAATGGCGAACAATGAGAGGCGCGTGAACGTCAGCGAGCTCCAGAAATGGATACAGCGAGACAAGCCAACGATGACGCCTGCACCAAGTAGATCAAGCCGACTTCAGTCGCACGTATTTGACGGGGGGACGAGTGTGGTGAGAGCAGGCTGCTAGCCGATTGGTTGGCACTAATCTACGTTAAGGTCTAGGTCACTAATATGGGCCGTGAGAAAATATGAACAAGACTGAGTCAACAACCAATCACAGCAAAGTTAACGTGGCAAAATGTGATTCGCAGAGAGAACTCGATTTGTCAAGGAATCCCGAAACAACCAATCAGAAGCCTGCGTTTGTCTACCTAAACAACCAATCAGATGACTGCGCTTGTCTATAATAATGTAGTTGAAATATGTATAAATACGTGTTGATTTTCATAATAAAACGATCTGTTGCCTGGCCCTTGTCTTCTGTTGTTACATTTGGTGTCGCTGCCTACCGACAAATGAAAAGCCTATACCCTGCAGTTTTTGATGGAGACATATGGATCTTCGGGCAGGACTTCAAGGCTTCTGCGCAGTTGAGTGGCGTTCAAGATCTGCCAGCGATGGAGCTGCTACTTGAGACGCTGCTGGGAGGTCGGGCGAAAGCAGCATATGAAGGTGTCGGCCGAAGTATGGACGAATGTTCGACAGGGTCAGGCAAACAGTTTCCAAAGTGGGAAGGACCATATATGGTCACTTCGAGATGGGGTTACGCAGACACAGTCGCAATGGCGAACAATGAGAGGCGCGTGAACGTCAGCGAGCTCCAGAAATGGATACAGCGAGACAAGCCAACGATGACGCCTGCACCAAGTAGATCAAGCCGACTTCAGTCGCACGTATTTGACGGGGGGACGAGTGTGGTGAGAGCAGGCTGCTAGCCGATTGGTTGGCACTAATCTACGTTAAGGTCTAGGTCACTAATATGGGCCGTGAGAAAATATGAACAAGACTGAGTCAACAACCAATCACAGCAAAGTTAACGTGGCAAAATGTGATTCGCAGAGAGAACTCGATTTGTCAAGGAATCCCGAAACAACCAATCAGAAGCCTGCGTTTGTCTACCTAAACAACCAATCAGATGACTGCGCTTGTCTATAATAATGTAGTTGAAATATGTATAAATACGTGTTGATTTTCATAATAAAACGATCTGTTGCCTGGCCCTTGTCTTCTGTTGTTACACAGGGAATATAACTTAGAGTGTTTTACTGAATTCTCATAAAATATGGTATTAAACAGGATTTGTTTTTTATGGGGACGACGGTTTCACAAGCCATTCATATATTAAGCATGATATTTACATGCTACTTGTTACACTGGTGAGGTAACATAAAACACCTATACAATTGCTTAGCATGTTCAGACAGTTTCATTAATAATAAATTGTTTAATTCCACCGCGTTATTACTATTATAACTGTTACCGCTCATTAACATTGTATATACGTTTCACATTTATGAAAAAGGAATGTCTAGAAACTGCACACAAAGAACTTCACAAGGCAGTCAAAATGGTTAGTCTGGCTATGATATCCCCGGTTACTGATGATACAGGTAATTTTGATGATGAAACCAAGAGTTTACGATGGTTTCTTCTGCCAAGTGAAGCCGCTGCTCAAATCCGTAATGAGATCAGTGAGTACTTGCTTTATTTTGGTTTAAGCCTATGTTTACAGTTGGCTATATGCATACAACTAGGTGTTTCGAAGTTATTTATTTGTCGGTGATTAGAAGTCGAATCGAAGACTTGAGTTTCGTCCCGTTTCGAACTTACCATCTGAATACAACTACCCTGCAATAGGTGATGTTGTCCTTACTGGGACTGGAAACCAGCATCCATCGCTTCAAAAACTAAGGCATTCATCATTGACCTGCTGAGTCATGTAAGCCACCTCTTGCGCAACAGGTTTGATTTGGAACGATGTATTCATAATTGCGGTTTTCTGCTGATACCTAAATAGGGAGATTTCTTGGTTCAAAAGCTCACTGGATAACTTTTCAGCGTTTGAAGAGATGAGGGCTGGTTTAGAGTTTCAGTAGGGACGCGATCACTCTCTGAGAAGCAGCTACATCCAGATGATGAGTTCTAAGTAGGGTAAAGTGAGCAACCTGGATTCCTTTATTGCTAATCACCGAATAAGTAACATCGAGTTAGTAATCATGAGAATTCCCAGATATCCACTCAAGAAGCTCATATACTAAAGTGAGGTTGATCAGTTCAGTCCAGAAATGGAAATAGGAAACTGCATGCATGAATAAATAGTTGCTTCGCTTAGATTGTTTTACTGCTTACCATACATACTTTTACTAAATGTTGTTTAGTAAATTATTCTGCTTATTGGATGTCATTATGCTTGAAAATAACATTAAATATTAACACAATTATTAATGTAATGAACTACCTATCACAACAGTGATTATATTTATGTTGCTGCTTTTAGCTTATATTCATAATGATGTACGGATTAGCTGACATAAAATTTTATACACGATTATTCAATTTAGTAAGTTATAGTCGTCCAAAGTAGATTTTATTACAAACCGATACCAGTTATAGAACCATTGAAAGCCAAACAGTATTGAACATTTCTTTTGTTCTCCTTTTGAACTCTTTAACAGCGAGCATTCACTAGCTTATCAAGCCTCTAATCCAGTATTTTCAGGTTATGAGGTAAATCCGTCGACCGTTCATCTACTGGGTTAGATAAAATCCATTGAATAATGAGTCATAATTTCTGTTAATTCGCAATATAGTGACATCTGCACCAATACCATTGATGACTAACTGTCTGAGTTTACTGCCCAGCTGATGGAACTCACTGATCACTGATTCTCATCACACCTCTGTGAAGCTCATCTCATAGTTAGTCAGTTATACTAGTTCTCAACAGCATGGAAAGAGAAATGAAATAACTTGAGTAAATGCTGAACAAAGACTAAAAATATTTTGAGGTTAAAAACGGTATAGAATACACCATAATTATCATTTTGAACATGATTTGGAAATCTGATTTCCGCTTTTAAAGCAAAGGTTTATTTTACTTAAAAATATTTTCACTCCCTTGCTTTTTACCCAGTTTTCCTACCTCCTTTGTATCTATGATCTTGAGCCGTATGCATTTTCACCTACCTTGACTGATTTGATTTTGACCAGAACAAACTGGATTCAGGAAAGGCAAATCATGTTCTGACCAAATTGCAACTCTACGCATCATCATCACAGAACAAAGCATGGAATCGCAATCAAATTTTCTACCTCAACTTTGTAGAATTCGAGAAGGCCTTCGACAGCGTTGACCGCGAAGTGATTTAGAAACTACTCGAGTACTACGGCTTATAATGCCTCAAATATTCATCAACCTTATTCAACAGCTGTACGACAACGGAACATGTCAAGTGATCCACAACGGAAAACTAAGCGAGGCGTTTGGAGTAAACACAGGAGTCAGAAAAGGGTGCTTATTATCACCAATGATATTCCCAATTGTGATGGACTGACTGGATTGTGCGTCAGACAGTGGGAAACGAGAAGACAGGGATATCCTGGACCGACCGACGTGAAGAACCTAGAGGACCTGGATTCCGCGCGTGGATGATTTATGTTTGATGTCACACAAAATCGAAGACTTACAAGCGAAAACTGACAAACTAGTCGAAGAAGCAGCAAAGGCAGGACTCCAAGTGAACACAGACAAGACGGGGGTTATGAAAATAACCAACCAACCAACAACAACAGCAACATCCAGCGCCAATCACCATCAACGGAAGGGATTTGAAAGAGGTCACTTCATTCACTCGTTTATCTAGGGAGCATTGTCTCAACTACAGCAGTCGGAATGGACGAGGGTGTCAAATCGGGAAGGCGAGAAACACATTCATCAACCTGAAACCAATCTGGGAATTTTCGTTACTCAGCATCAACAACAAAATTCAGTCGAATTTTCAATACAAACGTCAAGTCAGTCAGCTGTTCTGTACGGATCAGAAACTTGGCAGGCGGGTCACAAAGAATATTTCCAACAGGCTATTACAGACCTTTATCAACAACTGTCTTCGCTGAACCTATACTGAAGATCAGATGGCCGGGCGGAAAGAATCACCAACAAGAAACTATGGAAAAAAACAAAACAGGAACCAATCGCGTCGGTGGCACAGTGGTTAGGACTCTCGTTGACCATGCATATGGTTCGAGGTTCGATCCCCTGCCGACCCACACCTGCTATCTATGGTCGGCCTGCAAAATTTGGGCTACTGATATCGCATGCTGAAAATTCCATACTTGTAATAAAAGTGCAGTGTAGAATCAAGCTGTAATCAAAAAAATATGCAGGAGAAAGTGGAGATTGATTGGACACTCGTTGAAGGGGCCGGTTGGTGACATCGCGTGTCAGGCCATCGCTCGAGTGGAACCAGGCCGAAAGGGAAGCGGCGAGTGGGACGTCAGTGTAAGGGTGACATGGAGGAGGTTGTGTGAAGAGGAGTTGAAACAGTATGGACTAACATGGATGCAAGTGAAAAGTATGGCAGAAGGAAGACATAAGCAAGTGGAGACGTGCAGTTGAAGTCCTATGTTCCACTAGGAACCCAAGGGAACAACAATAATAATAATTGTTATTATAATTATCATTGAGTATTTATTATTCACTAATTCAAATCGCCTTATCCTTGTGACGACAGAAGACAAGGGCCAGCCAACAGATCGTTTATTGAGAGAATCAGGAGGTATTTATAGATTTTTATGTGCATTATTATTATCGTTATTGTAAGCAAAGAAGTAACGTCTTCTGATTGGTGGTTTTTGATTTGATTTTTGATTGCAGCTTGATTCCACACCGTATTTTTGGTACAAGTATGGAATTTTCAGCATGTGATATCGGTAGCCGAAATTTTGCAGGCCGACCATAGATATCAGGTGTGGGTCGGCAGGGAATCGAACCTCGGACCACGTCCATGGCCGGCGAGAGTCCTAACCACTGTGTCACCGACGCACAGTGGCAATAGATTGTGCTCGAAACGTCGTCCTGCTGAAGGTTATTCTGTGCTGCTTGTGATCGTTGCTTACAAAGTTAAGCCATATATCTGAGAATAGTATTTGCACACGTTAAGTCTGCCGTGATTAGTTGTTGAGTTCCTCAAGGTTAAGGTTTGTTATTATTTTTCTCATGACTCCGATTCGGGAAGTAAACACTGACGTAAATTGTTGTCTACAATTTCGGGTTGCAGATAACTCTCAATACAACTATACTTCTATTGATCACACCGATTTCAAATGTTTTCTATTAATACCTTATTATTTATTCAAGTGTTGGTTTGCAGGGATTTGACTAGTTACAGTGTTTCATTATGAACTGACATCAGTTAGATAGCCATCGAAAAACCAACGAGGAGTACTGGATGGCTGTTTCACCCTAGTGTGAGACTCTTTATCAGTATGCACCAGCGCGAGTTCAGATCCATGACCTTCTGGTCTCGTAGACAATTAAGCCACTGGGATCCGATCCAGTGGTCAGTCCATGAATTCCAACTTCTGCCAATTCACGATATAGTGCAACCACATCAATGGTTCTCTAACCGATGTCAGCTCATGATGAGATTCTTATTATTCAATTTAAAGCCTGATGAGAAGTTATTGAAAAAATACATTCGCTCTGATTGAGTTCTGTATTAACCATAATGTAAATATCAACATATATTTATTTGATTGCATGGAGGATTTCATCATGAGCTGACATCAGTTAGAGAACCACTGGAAAACCTGGGAGTACTGGACAGCCGTTTCGTCCTAGTTTGGGACTCCTCATCAGTACGCACCCACCGGGATTCGAACCCAGGACCTTCTGGTTACAAGGCGAGCTCGTAGACCATTGAGCCACTGGGACCCGATCCAATGGTCCTTGAATTCTAACTTCTGCCAGTTCACGACATAGCGCGACCACTTCGCAATGTCTTCTTCGATGAGTTACTGCCTCATCTTCAACCTGCTGTACCCTACTGGTCACGGCTTCCCACTAGAACCCCAGGTTAACTGCCTGAATAGGGCCAGTCACTAGTGAGCATCAGATGAATTTTCAAGTATTGGTTTTTGTAGGGATTTTGTTTGATTGCATGGAGGATTTAATCATGAGCTGACATCAGTTAGAGAACCACTGGAAAACCTGGGAGTACTGGACAGCCGTTTCGTCCTAGTTTGGGACTCCTCAGCAGTACGCACCCACCGGGATTCGAACCCAGGACCTTCTGGTTACAAGGCGAGCTCGTAGACCATTGAGCCACTGGGACCCGATCCAATGGTCCTTGAATTCTAACTTCTAACTAACCAAATATACTGTTCAGTACCATTACATATCATTCAAGTCTTCTGTATGAATACAGTGTTGTTTATTTGTCTATACTCTTTTACCTTATTCTCCTTTATAAAATTTAGATTTATTGAATGTATCATCACCTAATTCATCTCCATGGCATCCAGGATCTTTGACACTTTCATTTTTCCCAGAATTGAATAATAAAACAAATAAAGAAATGCATATAAAGAAGCCTAAAATTCAATCACATTTTGATGAAGAAACCACGATATTTACCAGTGAAAATCAAAAGTTGAAAGTTATTCTTTCTATTGGAAAACATGCTAACAATATGATCATTAAATCAGCAAAGATATATCCACGTCGACAACATGAACGATCACATTCAACACTGTCTTCAATGCAGCATCCTTGTACTAATGATGCCGAAGATGAGAATGTGATTAAAAGTTCACATAAACGACCGAAACAATCATTAAGTTTATCACATGAAAATGTAATTTGGCCAAATCAGAAAAAAATTCACAGAATTATTTGTAAAAGTGGTTGTAAGTATAGAGCTACAGAAAATATTGTCCTATCTATCAATGATACTTGTGTTCTACGACGGTATAACAAAAAGAACATTTCAAATTATCGAAGTGATCTGAAGGCGTAATTAAAGCGGCTACAAAAGATGGCCTATTTAATATAAAGAAGGACTACCAGCTACGATCTTTTGTAAGCACTCTATTACTCCGTTATTTTGCTCTCTGATGATGATACTGATAATGTTATTAGTATTGAAAATAAGTCATTTTTTAACTTTAAAGTTATCAAGTAGTGGTTTGAGGTAATTGGGCTGGCTACAGGTTTGATCACCAGTTGTTCAGTGGGGTCTTCTAAGTCAGGTTGGCTGCTGCACTATATGCATCACGAATAAGCAGAATTTGGGATTCATAGGCCGCCGGATAGGGTCCTAGTGGCTGAATGGTCTGTGAGCTTGCCCTGTAACCGGGAGGTCATTGACTGTGAAGAGTCTCAAACTAGGACGAAACAGCTGTCCACCACTCCCAGGTTTTCCAGTGGCCCTCTAACTAATGTCAACCTGTAATCAAACCTGTAACCGAGAAGTTATTAAGTTGGTCCACTGTAGTGTTATCATGGTTCTAATGTTCCTGTTACACTTTTAAGAAACATCTAAAACACTTGACCTTGTGTATAGTGCATAAAGAAGGTCACATTAAAAATTATTAAATTTTCTAAATAACAATTCCATAAACTTGCGGGTATAAGAATAGAATCCGGGCATTTTAGCAGAGCATGTTTACACCACAGAATAATTTTACCTTGCAAGTAAATAGCAGTGACTCAGTATTATTTGCTGAGGTAATTCAAGCACAATTTATCGTCATATATGGGACATCTGAAACCCTATGTAGGGGATCATTTAAGTCCGAAACCCACTCAGAGAAAGCTCCATAGGTTAAGGGATCCTACTAACCCAACTAAACAGAACGACTTATTCTACAAAATACTTCTCAGTGACAGTGACTTCAATAATATAGATCAGACAAGTAGGTAGGGGTCAATCTCCAATGTCATATGTCTGTTTTTTTATTGCAGAGTGAATTCTACCCGTAAAGTTTTCAATGCTATCTTCAGGTTAGTTGACTTGCTATCGTTGGCCCTTTTTCAAATGACATTGGATTGTTGGGTGAGATTGTCAGGAAGCTCCGGGCTTTATTTGTTCGCCTACCGCCATTCATCACCGTGGCGTATACGTGATAGGGAGTGATCCCCTTTAGTGAACACAGTTAAAATTTGACTGTGACAACTAAAAACTAGACATGGCGTTTTTAACTGTAGAACGGATAGTCGACGGATCCAATATTGCCCTACAAGAGGTTGATCGTGTTTCGAATAGCTCAGCGATATCTTTAGCAAAGTTCAACTTTAGGCGCTCAAGAGGCACGGGCACATATAAGACCTTGGAATGAGAAATTGCGCCAAGAAGCGGATTCAGGCTGCCAATTCAAAGATAACCCTAATAATTCCTTAACCTAACCCTAGTCTATCCCTAACTCAACCCTAGACCTAATCTGTGGGTAAGTTAACCATAATCTATTCTTAACGAATTCCAATATCTCCCTAATTAGGTCAACCTAACCCTAATCTTTCTCCAGTCTAAACCTAAACTTATTATTTCCTTAAACTAACCTAAAACTAACCAAATATTCTGTTCATTACCATTATATATCATTCAAGTCTTCTGGATGAATACAGTGTTGTTTAATTGGTTTCACAAATTTGCCGTGACTGAACGTTCCATGTTCATTGGTAGATTGACATGTTTTAGGTGTCTAAAGTTTAACCTCGCCGGTAAAATGTGTCACTGAGAGCCAAATCTTCGAAGTTGTAGGCATACTTTGGTGACAAGTGCAAGTGGCAATAATCATGAAACTTATGTGCATAGCTACCTGACCATTGCTTCCAACCACCTAACTCCAAACAAGTGTTTTGTTTGGTATCTGACAGTCAACATGAGATATTAAGTAGGCCATATGATTTATGCTGAAGAAATAATAAATAATAATAGTTACTCGAATAGTTGTGTTTACTAAATTCATTTCAGGGTTATACATTTCTTAGTTCTAATATTTTTATTCCCGTGAAATATATGCGTCAAATTTTACACAATCATTGCGATGTTCTGATCGCTTTCAGTGAAGTGTCAGATACCCATGTTTGCCTTATTTAACAATATACTTCGTCAGATATAGATACTAACGATAATGAATGCAACCAGACGTCTTAATTGATCATCGAATGAGATTGTTCTGCTTCATTTTTTTGCATTTTGCTGAGATACAGAAATTTCAGAAGAGAAGGATTGACTTGTATGTGCAAGAATAAATTTATTCGAAATACAATAAATAATATATGTATTTTACATACATGAAATTGCTCTATGTTGATTAATAAATAAGGTTTCTTCATCAGTTTTATGAAGAATTAGATTGTTGAGTGAAATTATCCTGTTCATATAGCAATAAAAATATTTTTTAAATGCCAAATCCTTTACGTAATCACTAGATCATGTATTCATCTTCTAACTGGAAGAATTCCCCAAACATTTGCGGTCTGATTCTAGTTGTATGGGTAAAACGTTCTGTACGTGATCTGTGTGACATCAATTAGTTCTGAGTTGTGATCGATTCGACGAACGAAGATTCAGTGACTAATCTTTCTTTTGCCACCTATATTACTTCTAAGTACTCTTAACCTCTGCCATTCTACTATGTGAACACACGCGATTGAATGCCCCTCAGTGATTGAGCCCTTCTCTAGATTACTTAACTTATTTTTTTTATTTATTTTTTATTTTTTATTTACAGCTTGATTCCACACTGTATTTTCGGTACAAGTATGGAATTTTCAGTATGGATATCGGTAGCCCAAATTTCGCAGGCCGACCATAGATATCAGATGTGCGTCGGTGTGGGCTCGAACCCGGGACCACTGTATGGTCGGCGAGAGGAGGAGGATCAGTCAATCCAGATCTAGCTAAATTTATTATGTCCTAATAATCTAACTGACTTCCATCGTTAAACTGACAAAGTTTATCCCTGAGTCAGTTGGCTGGCTTAAATGCCACCTCAATTCCAGACTTACTAAGAATTCTACGTAAGACCTCCTCCAGGGTTACTTCTTTATCTGGCAGTACTATCGAGATTTCGAATTCTTTATTATTTAGTTAGTTATATGCTAGTAAATCGCAGATATTTTGTCTAACATTTATTGATAAAAATAGTGTAAAAGTAATATCTCGTTCACTTTTTCAATGAAAAATGAACAGTATTTTCAGTTATTTCATTGAATATTGTTCAATAAAAACCTTATAATTGATATTTTTGAATATTTTTTTCTTCTAAACTCTTAGATGTTCATCACAGTATTTCATTTTTCATGAAGCCGTCAATGAAAGTGTCAATCGTGTATAATAACTTCAAGTTATTGTTTTCAAAATCACTTCAATTGGATCAGAGTTGTCATTTATTGTCTAATAATGAATAAATTCGGCTAATTTATAAGCATATTTAAAATAACAAATTGATTATATTTCATGTTATCAACTACTCTTCTGGTAGTAATCGAAATAGGATACTTAATATTCATTGAAAAATACACAATGATAAATTTTATTCCCCTTCTGTCTTATTTACCCCCGTCGTTTTTAAAATGAGAAAAAGAATAACCAACCGACTTTACTTTTTGGAAACATTCCAAATGTTGAGAATAATTAGTCTCCTTTCTTTTGAAATTATTTTTGAGCTGTTTTCTTTTGTCTGTACAATGTAACACTGCCTGACTTGATTTCAATTCAGCTATATGTATCGTTTTGAAGAAAACAAATTAATTGACGATTTGAATTCCTTTTGGTAAAACCTTTTAGTCAACGTTGGGGGTGGGTGGCAGCGACAAAGGTTAACTTTTAGATACCATATGAACTGTTATTAAATATGTAAACTTTGACATACTGTTTAATAAGTTTCTTACTTCTATCTCAAAAGTCTACTCATTATCATCCAAACTTATTTATCAGTTATTGTCCCTGAGACAAAAGAAAACAAACATTGGAACGCATCTATTGCACACACATTACTTCTTTTCTTATAAGCATTTAGTTTGTTTGAAACGAAAGTGTTGTGCAATGGAGATTAAGTAATCTTTTAAGATCAGTAGCAAGAGATATAAGTGATGTCATTTCATCCTTGCATCTGGCATTCTCTTCATATCGAAAATCATCTCAGCGTAGAATTACGTTTCAAGTTTGATAACAGATTGATGTCAATTAGAGAACTACGGAGAATCAGAGACTACCAGGCAGCTGTCTCATCCTAGTTTGATAGTCTTCATCTGTACAGACCCATGACCCTGATAGAGATCGAACCCACTAAGCTCAGGTTACGAGGTCAGACTCGTTGACTATTCAGTCACTTGGAATTCAATGCCCTATGAATTCTAACTTCTGTTAATTTACGATTTTTAGTGCTTTCATTAGCCAGTGTAAGAAGTCGTGATCAATGGGATCTATCAGGGTGGATTTGAAGGGAGATATTCGCTTATGACATCGGCTATTACTCCAAACTCATTCAACGGCTTTATGATAATGCAACTTGCCAAGTGATCCACAACGAAAAAAATCAGAAATGCCTTTGAAATGAAGACGCGAGTAAGATAAAGCTACCTACTATTACCGATGATATTTTTGATTGTGGTGGACTCCAGGGGGCGAGAAGACAAGAATATGTTAGACAGATGAGGAGACTCTACAAGGTTGGGATTTCGCGAACCATTTATACTTAATGACACATAAACTCGACGACTTACAGACGAGAACCAAGAAGTTGGCAGAAGAGGCAAGCAGCGAAGAAAAGACTTCAGGTGAACATAAAGAAGAAGGAGGTGATGCAAATAACCAATTAACAACAGCAAGTTTTAATCACTATTAATGGAAGAAGTTTGAAAGAGATTACTTCTTTCACTGACCTAGGAAGCATTGTTTCAACTACAGGCAGTTTGCACTGATGAGGATGTCGAAAACAGAATCATAAAGTTAACAAAGACCTTCATCACCATGAAATCAGTTTGAAAATCTTCTGCACTCAGAATAAAGAATAAGATTCATATTTCCAACAACACCGTTAAGTCACTCAGTCAGTCCTTCTATGTGGTTCAGAGGATTGGCTTGCATACCACAAAAAGTATTTTTAGCAGCCAACTGCAGACTTCTATCAGTAGCTGCCTTAGCTGGCTCCATACTGAAGATCAAATGACAATCAAGAACGAATTTGCAACAGGAAACTCTGGGATGGAACCAACCAAGAACGTTTCGCCCAACAATTATTCTGAAGAAAATGGAGATGGATTGTGCATGCGCTGAGGAGACCATTGAGTGAAACCTCGCCCAGTACCCTTGAGTGAAACTCGAGTGGGAAACGACGAGTTGGACGTGTGTCCGAAGTTGATAAGAAGGAGATCGTGTGAGAAGGTGATGAGACTATGGGTAATCGTAGGGTTGGCTGAAGAGGACCTCAGAGAATGGGACAAAGTGAAGATGTGATGTTGAGGCCGTATGTAGGGAACATTTATAATAATAATAATAATACTTACGTTGTATACAGTTGAGAAATTATCAGAAGTCAATGTCAATGGACCATTTTCGAGGCTTGGCATGAAACAGGCTGCTAGTAACGGACCCAAAGAGAGATTCCACTGCAATCCCATCCTTTTGTCTGTATCTCTCAACCACTCGTTTGAAACCTACTATTTATCCATTTTTCCCTCCCATCTGCTTAAATGTTTGATGTGAATTTAGCGCTGATCTACATCTTCGTCAGTGTACAAAAATGGTTAAGTAGACATCAACCTATATAGACTATGACACGACTAATTTTGATAATTGTCAATATCTGGCATAGTTGTATGGATTTTTTCGCTTGTCTGCTAATCTCATATAGCATAGAAGACGTTGTTCATAGCTTACCAGCTTAGTGGATTGGACTGCATTGTTTGAAAAGGTAAACATTAGGCTCAAATCTCAGTAGGTACACTGATCTAACAATTCTCAAATATTCAAGTGTTAGTTTGTAGGGATTTGATTAGTTACAGAATTTCACCATAAGCTGACATTGTTTAGAGAACCATTGGAAAACCTGCAGGGAGTACTGGATAGCTGTTTCGTCCTAGTTGGGCAATCTTCGGCAGTACGCACCCACCGGCAGGGTTCGAGTCCAGGACTTTCTGGCTACAAACCTGGCGAGCTCGTATACCATTAAGCCACTGGGACCCGATCCAATGGCGCATGAATTCTAACTTCTGCCAATTCACGACATAGCGCAACCCATTTGGCTAGTATTTATCCTCACACCCGACATCTATTTAAGGCGTTTATAGGGAGAAAAGTGACTGTTCACTGACTGCACTTCCATTAAAGTTAACCCAGAGGTACATGCATAAATAAATAACAGTCTCATTTATATGTATATGCTTCTGTTTAATTAAAAATACAATAAAAATATATTTTGTTTCCACTTTCAAATTATACAATCAATTAATAACAATTAGACATTATTAAATGATCTGCTGTTTCTTTTAATAAATTTTTAAATAACATTCTAATTCTTTGATTAATTCTCTCCACTTCATTTAATAATATTTTTGAATTATGTACATTACTTCGATAGCTTCTAATTCTATCAATCTGGTAATTAATCCCAGCTTCTTCATCTAATGGTTGCATGGTATCAGTTGTACGTATAGGTGTTGATTGTCTGAATCTAAATTGAGCTGCACTCATAAAATTTGATTTATGCGTGAGAAGAATTGTCGAATAGGATAAGATGAGGGCCTTAGAGAGAAAAAAAAGAAAGAAAAGAGAGAGATTGGAAGTGTCAATACATTAGTCTTTATAAAATTTTATTTGTCAAACTTCTTTTATGTTTCCTGTTGATTAATTTCCAGTGGATCGAAATACCCCGGCTCTGCTGATGTGCTTGCTTCTAGTAGGGATGCTTTGACAGTGTCTGGTGGTTAGCATCATTGCACGTATTTCCTTACTGATGAGTCCCAAGTTGGACGAAGGGCACATCTTGGATTACGCTATTAACCAACATCATTCAGGTTATATTAAATCAGCCTTCAGACATTACTGATTCTACCGTACTAAAAGCCAACATGCTGACAGTCATCAAGCATCTTCGTGCAGTATAAAGTAATCAACAAGAAACAAAAGACAATAACTGATGCTATTAACAGAAGCGGTGAATTTCATGGCTTGATGACTTAATGGATGGCACTGGGTTGATGCATCATTGAGTCCATCATTACACTGTGGAATGGAGCACCTAAATGATGAGTCATAAATCGGAAGAAATGCGCTTTCTGGATTTGTCTGCTATCAGTCAAATAACTATGTACGATTTACTTAAATAAAATTCATGGAGAAACTGTCTAGAATAATCTTGGATTAGTAGCGCGTAGGCTACGTAGGTGTAGTATCACTCAAGGAAACCTGTAAAGAAGAACACTGGAACTCTGTGAAAGTGTATAGCCCTTTTAGAAAGAAAGAAAAAGCAAGGCAAGGAATGGCTATTTGCCGACACCTGGAAGCTAATAGAAGTGGAGGATGGTAAAATAGAAGATGAACCAATGCGAAAATGGCTACAGAAGGTGGGACTGCGTTCAACATATAAAAGAAGTGAAGCAGAGTGCTAGGAAAGACAAAAGGCAATCCTACAACACACTAGTAAATGAAGCACAACAGACTGACCACTGGTAAAAGAGACCTCAAAACATTATATCAGATAACAAGGTCTCTGCTTTGGAAGACATCGACGCACATGAAGCCTATAAAAGGTAGTCGAAGGAAACTAATTATCGCAGGGGGGAGACAAAGAAAACAATAGGTTGATCACTTTAAAGGAATCTTGAGTCAACTATCACCTGCAACTCATCCAGAAATACCACCAACAGCATGCACATAACTGTTGAATGCAATCAAGCTGCCAAAGGCCAACGGGAAAGCAGCAGGACCTGATAGAACTCCCTCTGAACCATTGAAAACGAACTAGAAGACCTCAGTGCATATTCCGTCAACGCTGTTGGAATTAGGGAGTGGTACCTACTGATTAGAAGAAAGATCAGAGAAGGGTGACTCAGGCATCTGCAAAAACTGTCGTGGAATACTTATCTTGTTCACACCAAGTAAAATACTAAGTCGTATCATCCTGGATAGCATAAACGAGGTATGGGATGCACAGCTCCACCACCTGAAACAAGCTTGACTCAGGAAGAGCAACATCATCGAACGCAGCATAGAATGGCAGTCAAACCTCTATCTACCTCAACTTCACTGACTTCGGAAAGGCCTTCGACAGGCAGCGCTGACCCAGAAGTAATTTGGAGACTATTTCATCACTAAGGAGTGCCATAAATCTTTATAGACCCCATTCAGTAGCTATATGATGATGCCACATATCAAATGATCCACAACGGAAGACTCAACGAGGTCTTTAGAGTGAATGTAGGAGTAAGCTAAGGCTGCTTAACTATTATCACCGATGGTATTCTTTGTTTTGATGGACTGAATTATGCGTCTAACGTGAAAAGCAAGAAGACAGGAATACGCTGGAACACCGATAAGGAGACTCTAGAAGATCGGGACTTCGCAGACAATCTTTGTCTAATGTTGTGTAAACTAGCAGACTTACAGTTTGGCAGAAGAGACTGGCAGCAAAGACAGAACTTCACGTGAACACAGAGAACACGGAGGAGACTGTTGAGTAACATTACGCTCTGGGCCTTCAGGTGGAATCAGAATGGGAAGCGAGTAGTGATATGAAGATGATCGTGTAAGGAGGAAATAAAATCTTTTGGGAAATTGTGGAACCATATAAAGAGAACTGCAAGGAATAATGTGAAGTATAGACGTTCTGTCGAGTCTCTGTGCTCCACTCTTAACTCAAACAAATACTGAAAATAGGCTGCTCATTTGAATCTTGCTGCAAGCTAAATTTTCGTCTTACTTTTAATAATCACCCAGTACATGAAATAAAACAGTTTGGAGTATTTAGTATCAAATATCAAATCAATTTTTTCAGAAATAAACTAATAATTCTAACTTTTCGAGAAGTACTTATGGTTGTAACGATTCATATGCGTTACATAACACCTAAACACTGCATTACATTGCCTAATGTAATAACATCAGTCACATATTTTGATTGGTGTGCTGACTGTTCATGTATGTAAGTTTAAATTTAGACTGTTTGAGGCAATCGTCAGGAAACCCAGCTCGACCTAGGTTTCATGCTAGTTGACACTCATCGGTCAGCTAGGCATATCTACAACCTTGACGGAACTCATGTTCATTACAAGAATCGAACCCGTGTCACCCAGTGAGTGCTGCAGTCATTGACATTACCACTGGCCTATTCGGGCTCGCAAGTATTCGATAATTTGATTGGAAAGCTAATTATTTAATCATCGGTAATATTTCGGTAGTGATCATTTATTACACTTTAAGATACACTGAAAATTCGAGATCATCAGAAGATGACATATTCCCGGCTTATAAGTGAATTTGTCACATTTTAAATATCAGAAGCATGATAAGTAGTTGACACAGAAACGATGTAACTATATCATCATCAAATAGTACATCATCATCACATCATACTGACTAACTAAATAACACCTAAATATTTTGACAAATTCTGATTACTTTGACATTATCCCATTTCTATCTCCTCAATGATTAATTTGTCTACCCAGTGAAAATTCACAGGAAGATAACTATTTCACGGATAGTATGTTTGACTAAAGTATGGGTAAAATGAATGAGGGTTCTAAAAGTGAATCGTCTACTTCCAAGTCAGGGATATGCCATCTCGTTAAGTTTCAGAGAATAACTGTCTTCAAGTGATGCCATTCAATTATCGATAAAATTTCTCCTACTTAGCTAATAAATACTTGTTAAGGCTTCAAACAGTTGCTTTTCCGAAATATATGACTAGCGTGTTATCGACTTCCTATAAATTTAATTTCAAAGTAATTTTCTTCCTGAAAAAACATTATCTTCAGGCTTTTTCGAACAATGAAGTTTTACGACTCAGGAAAGAATCAGACTCAGAAGTGAAGAAGATTACATAGTAAGTGCGTTATCACTGAAGTATCCAGTTGTTACATATATAGAACTCCGCAATTAAAGCATTCACTTCAGACAACATAACAATACCAGTCATCCCACCTATGGATACCTACAGCATATAAGATCTAATATTGAAATATCTTCCGTGATATAATATATATATATATATATATATATATATATATATATATATATAATACCTTCTGTTGACATAATGTTTATTCATCATTGGATGAATTCATTCAGAATGAAATCCTATTTTATCGTGATAATTTATTCTGTTCATTTCAAAAAGCAGTGGACTGATAGTGTAACTTTTAAATATTCATGTGATGCTTTTTGAGAAGCTGCTTCGTTCATAATCTTAAACTGTTCTGGCCATCATTTATTCATGTTTGTTATTTCTCTTTGATTTATCTGGGCCCATCTGAACAGCCTTATTCAGGCGTATGGATTCCTTCAACGGATGCCTGGGTACTACTAGGGTTAGAAATTCAAAGTTAAGTGTTTGCTGGAGGCTAACAGTGGAATCCAGGATGATGAGCATTCTGTCCAACTGAGGACTTGCCAGTCGAATGTACTAGTTTCCCATTGGCCGATGATGTTTCCAGTGAGACTTGAGCTCAGTATCAACCGATTCAAATACAAAAATGTTAGTTGTTAGGTCACTAGGATTAATATGAACAGCAGCAGCCGGGATGATTTTTATATTATGCTTTTTCATACACAAAGTATTACTCTTATTCACTGTTAAGTAAACTTACCCGTAGATTGTCTGATGACTTGATGATGTCACTACAAAGTTGATTCATTCTATTGAATAATTCTACACCACACGGTGTTGTGTCGGAAAGTAAATTAATATTCATTTTATGTCGAAAAGACCTTTCTAGTTTCCAGCTGTAGCTTTCTGAATAAAAAAAACCAGATATGAAAAGTGCAGTGATGATAAGTACACGCTAATAAATAGGTGGATAATGTGTCAAGAGAAAAATATTCTAACTTCTTGATACTACTCGGTAATTGTGAGTAGTTTAGATTGATATCCATATATGCCGATAGACGGTAGTTTGATGAATGGGTAAGCTTGTCAACACCAGATTTTCTCAGCTTATTCGCAATCAAATTGTTCCTTGGTAAATTCTTGGTAAACCGACATTTAAAACAAAGATTTCGCCGAGGGAAATTTCCCTTGTGATGATTTAATTCTATTTCAACTGTTTGGCATAACATGAAAATATTTCGTTACTTTAGAGGACTATTGCTCACAAAATATCACACGAGAGTGATAAATTTGTGTGTTTGGAAGTGTACAGTTGAGTAGAACTTCACTGATAACTGTACAATTGTAATTCCTGCTTCTTTATAGTTCTTCGAGAAGAGAATAGATTTGTTTTGAGTGGTGTCGGGGCCATAACTCAGTCGGCTTAAGACTGGTTATATGTAGGCAGTCTGTGTATTGGACTTAGTGCAGTTTCGTTCGTTCTTGGAGACTCAGGGTAGGATGGGTTGCCCAGCTTTTGAAGTTGGCTTATTCTAAGCCCTTTTAGTCAGAATTCAGCGGTGACAATGGTTGGAATATCAGTCACCTGAAGAAGACGACCCTATAACAAACTGACTCCATCTTCAAACATAAGCACACATACGTCCACGAGCTTAAATCATTTATATCATGAATATGTAAGCTTTAAATCTGCCCACTACATACTGAACGTCACATTCATTAATATAAATCTTCAGAAACTAAGGTTTCACTAAGTATTAAAACTATAGTTCTTTTTTAATTCTATTATTTACTGTTTCAATACTAACTAATATAAAACGGTATGGTGTCAGTTTTATTAGATGCATAGTTACTTATGTAATATTTAAAACAATTGCTCCCATTTATAAATTTCGATGGTGGTATTAGAAGATGGAGATTATCTGAAAAGTGTGATGTATTTGCGCTATACATTTCGAACAATCTGATCCCCCACATATTTACTTGTCAAATCGATATATATGAAAAAAATTAAGAGCAATTAAATTAAACAAAGTGACAAAAAAGATTTAAGAATAATTTACACAACATTTAGTAATCCAATCAAATAAGGATTACCAAGGTAGGTTAAGATTGGGGGTGGGTGGGCTTAAGTTTATAAATAGCTTTAGCCTTAGCGTATTTCAATGAGCGCCCATCACCATTTCTATGGATCACCTTAAAGGCTGTGTTAACATCGATCTTATGGTTCATCTCGATTCGAGTTTCGGCTATGGACGAAGGTGGTAGTCTGTCACTTGCGTCTGTTGGTTTTCTACAATTCATTTGTCTTTCTCTCCATTTCGGGATATGCTCTCCCACCCTCAGATAATCTCCGTTCCCTAATATCAAAATTTATATAATGACACCTACTTAAATGGTGGGTATTTAACATCCGGAATGGAAGGACACTGTGTATTTTGCTTGGGCAGTATATATATATATATATATATATATATATATATATATCGGAGTTTTCTGAAGCACAGTCCATTGTCGAATTTTAGAAAGAGGAGCATTTATAAAAGATTAACCAAGTTTAACTGATTACATTTCACTTATCACCAATTCATCGTAAAGATGAACAAATTTTAAGGAAAACAAATCGTCATTTCGGAATGATATCAGTTAAAACTCAATAAAACTCATCTGGACATCTGGACAACTGATTCTAATTATCAGTAATCGTTATTGACCGCAGCAGAGGATTAAGCCAAGGGTCGTAGTTACAAACAGTGAGTATATTACTATTTAATAATCAGCTGTGGTCTCTAGATTTCCATGACATATATATATATATATAATAATATATATATATATATATATATACCATAAGGAGGTGTAGACTGCCAGATAAGGTTCCTCAGGATTCTAAGAAACATTTCGTGATACGGTTCAAACTTGCTGTCAGTAGGGCGGATGAATTCGTTCTTTATTCTCCCCCATATCCATTAAACTCTCATGTTTTTCCATGTTACTTTTCTTTCTTCCATACATTCATTCTCATTATTATTCTTTTTGATATCTTTTCCTTCTGCCTTTTTGTACTTCATGGAGTGTGTTAACTGCTGCTTGAAATTCTACACTTCTGTGCAGCTTTCTGTGTTGAAATTCAGTCGTAATTCCCCACCATGTTAAGTAAGTGAATCATAAGTGGTAGTAAGTTGTAAGTATAAATAGATCATTATAATTCTTCAAGCTGCATATACCCAAGTTCAGGGTTTAGAAATATCTTGACTCATTTACTTCTTTGAATAAGTTCTGATTGATAAAGAAAGTATGATGGATAGATGAGGAACAACTGAGTTTCATTAGTGAGATTAAAATAGTTGATTTCTATTGAACTGATGTGATTTGAATAGTGTCTGTCTTAAAAGAATACATGATTAAGGCTTGATAATTGAGAATGATACAAAGATTGAGGGGTACGTGGATTATAAATCAGCTGTGTATCTCCAGTATAGCCTTATTTACTAGACTATTTTAGATTTTTGGGAATAATGAACAAAGTTTCTTAGCTCACTTAATAGGTTTCTCAATCTAAATCACAGTGATTGTCAACATTATCATTACATTCAGATGGACAGACTTACTTATGTTCACAAGGTTTTCTTATGTTTCTGATTAAAAGTAAAATGCTCTGAGTTGCATTTTAGTTTTATTTTGCGTTTCCCGTTGAATGATTACATTAGGTCTGTGATGACATTTCAGCTCCTGAGTGCCGTAGCTTCGACTGCGTTAAGGGATTAATATGAAGTTATTTTGATTGGCAGTGACTAGTAGTGGTATCCAGGACACTTTGGCGTTTGAAAAGATGCATGCAGAGTTAGAGTCTGCGTGGGAATACCACCAACTAATGGTGCGGTGAGAGCAGGCTGCTAGCCAATTGGCAGAAATTAATTTACCTGAATGTCTAGGTCGCTAATATTGGCCGTGAGAAAATATGAACAAGACTAATTCAACAACCAATCACAGCAGACTTAACGTGGGCAAATACGATTAGCAGATATATGGCTTAACCTTCTGAGAAACCAGTCACAAGCAGTGCAGAATAACCTTGAGCGAGAAACAACCAATCAGAAGACTGTGTTTGTCTGCTTGAATAAGCTATAATAATGTACATGAAATATATATAAATACGTGCTGATTTCCTTAATAAACGATCTGTTGCCTGGCCCTAGTCTTCTGTTGTTACAATGGGAATTCAGATACATCCAGTTGACGAGTCCCATACTTGACGGAATGTGCGTCCTAGATTCCACTTCTAGTCACTATCAACCAAAAATAACTTCACTCTTTGACCTGCGCCTTATCTAACTTCAGTATATATTATACCAAGTCATGATACAGACTAATTGTGACCTAAAGGAGGGTAATACTTGTTGATTGTTTTATAGTTTTATTTATTCAGGGACAGAGATTTCGATACCAGTCTGTCAATACTGAGATTGGTGTGGTGGTGTGACTACCTTTTAAATAAAATCCAAACTCAGAAGAAACAATACCATCAGAGAATAAAAGATTGTTACTATGCCGACTTTGACCACAGCGTACTGCCAATGGGCACCAAGCTAATACAAAACAGTTGTCCAGTACTCCCTGGTTTTCAATGGTTCTCTGACTGATATCCATTCATGGTTAAACTCATGAGCTAAGAAAATTTAGAGGACCATTGAAAACCGAGGAGTACTGTACAATGTTTTCGTCTTAGTCTGAGACTGTAAAGAGTTTGAAGACTCTGAAGAGACCCTGATTTGTATTGGTTCTCTAACTATTATCAACAGCTGCCCTCGCTGGTCCAATAATTAAGATCATATGGCCAGAAACGAACTGTAAAACATGTCAATCAAGAATCTGTTTCCCAGCAGTTATGTCGAAGCAAATGGACATGGGTTGGACACACGCTGAAAAGGTCACTAACTGACATCATGTGCCAGGCCATCACTCAAATGGAACTCGGATGGAAAAAGACGAGTTTGACGTCTGAGAGTGATATGGAGTAGATGAGAGACTACGTGAAATCGTGGAGAAATGAAGGAAATGGCGATGGGCTGTTGAAGACTTATACTCCACTTGGCACTCAAGGGAATGATTATAATAAATCGATTTCAGCTCGTAGTCTAGCTTGAGAATATTTATTTCTATGTAGACAAACCTGTGAATGTATTATTATAAGAATAGCATATATATATATATATATATATATTATATATATATATATATATTAGGGAAATAATTTCCGTAGCACTTATTTTCGATCGAATATCAAAGCATTATAACTATCAGTGTAAGAACACTTGTATTTGTATTGATATCGATCGTTTTGTTGACCTTATATTTCACCTTAGTATTTGAGCCTGATACACTCAGAGCATTCTAATCAAACAATTCGCAATTTATAGACATGCGCATATCGATCATTAAATAACAGGTCACATGATTAGAAGGTCAAATGTCGGGTCAATAAGACAAGGATAGAAAACTAGTGTCAGATAGGCTGCGTAATAATCTAAGTGAACATTTATGGTTGGTACAGCTCAACCAAATCAATGGTTCAAAGATCAAACTTGATCTTACTGCTTATTGTTGATTGGGATCAGGGATAAATACACTGAAAATAAAAAAAAACATCCAACACACACGCGTTTACCTAAGAGGTGAACTCTGAGGATTTCATCCATTCTCTTAGTTGTCTGAATGATGCTATTTAGTTTGTGAGCTATTATCTTGAGGTTCTCATTTCTCAGCCTCCTTTTTTTCAATTTATACTACTTTCATCACTTACTGTGGCCGCATGACAACTAAAGTCATTCTGGATTACTTTCAGTCATCGTCAGTGACATTGCATAATAACTGAAAGAAGCACACTCCACCAAGTAATTCGATAGTAAGCGCCGGATTACTGAGTTATATGGTGACTAGCTGATTTCAGTCAGCTTGCCGTAAAAGAAAACATAAGTTAATTAGCTCTGCGTCGGTGGCACAGTGGTTAAGACTCTCGTCGACCATGCACATGGTCTGAGGCTCGATCCCCTGCCGACGCACACCTGATATCTATGGTCAGCCTGTGAAATTCGCGCCACCGATATCCATACTGAAAATTCCATACTTGTACCGAAAATACATGGTGCAATCAAGCTGTAAATCAAAAAATCAAAACGGGATAGAGTTTCCTGGAGTTCTAGTGAGAAGTCGTGACCAGTAAGGTCCATCCAGTCAAGTGTGAGGACGGATGTTCCACTGATGACATTGGTTGGTGGTCGCACTAAAATCATGAATTGGTAGAAGTTATAATTCATGGAATAGACATCGAAACGGGTCCCAGTGGCTCACTGCTACACGAGTTTGCCTCGTAACGGGAAGATCTTGGGCTCGAGTGTTATGTACTGGTCGAGAATTTAATAGTACTGACGCAAGAAGGCGGAAATCAGAAAAACCCTAGGTTCACGATGATACTTGTATTTTTCAAACCACGAGGAGAATCAATGTCACACAAAAGTGTGAGTGAAATAGTATGAATGTCCGAACAACTGTGTGAACACAAGTGTATGAGCGAATGTTCAAAAATGAACAAATCAATAGACAGTCTTAACATGATTGCTAATTATAATGGAATATCGATCCATATATACATAGCAAAATATAACAGACTGTCAAACAAACACACATATTATATGGATACATATCATCGAGCCTCCGGTGGTGGGTGCATACTACCGATAATTCCCAAACTAGGATAAAACCGCTGTCCAGTACTCCCTGCTGATTTTCAATGGTTCTCTAAGTGATATCACTCCGTGGTCAAACTCGAAAGAAAGGAAGTGCCTTTTTCTTATCACAAGATAATTTACCGATGATAGCATAGATTGTTACAGATAGAAATTTTAATAATGATCAACACTTACCTATATCCTTCCTTAGTTTAATCAAAGCAAGGGCTAGGCTTTTATCGTCATCATTATCTTCATATAATGGCGTAAGAGTAAAATGTTGGTAGACTGAACGCATTTCATGATGAATTCTTCTCAAATTGATCATACCATTATTGATTGTCTAAATGTAAATTTTGATTAGTATTGACAATAAACTAAAGTATGCATTAAAAGGTGATTAACAAATCTGTTAAATGTTAAATTTATAAATACGTCATTATTTCAACGTTAGAATGCTCACTAACCATGCACGTGGTCAAGGGCTCGATTTTTGACCAGCTCACGCTTAAGCCACCTAACAGGTAGCGAACCTGGGAAAGAGGGAAGTTTGGACATCGGAATATCAACTCAACTCAGTAAAAAGAAAAAAAACACCTATGTTACTGAAAGTTCAAGACTACAAGCTTGAAGCTCCATATTCCAATCAGAAAGCAACGAATGGAGAAAGATATATTTGGAATTGAGAGTCAGATAAATTTTCAATTCAAGTGTGAATATAAGTAGGTGAATGCCGTTCGTATTAGTCAGTATTTCTGGATTACAAGGTAAAACTGACCTAACTTTAGGAGTACCCTTTAACTCATTAATAATGTATCTGAGTCAATGCAGTTAGAAAGATCACTGGAATTCCGTCTGTTTGAGCAGGATAACATCGTTCAGGATTAAACACGGTATGTAACTTCGTAGAGAATAGGATTCGACAGCTAATTCGAAATAAAAGTAATTTAACCACTTCTAAATACCTAATAAGGTGCGTTGGTGGCACAGTGATAGGATGCTCGCTGACCACGTCCCTTGTGGTTCGGGGTTCGATCCCTGGCCAACGCACTCCTTTACTACGTTAAGCCAGGAATAAGACTGGTAAAGAGAGAAGGTTGGGCATGAGGCTAGCATTTGATCACAGTTGATGTTGTGATTAGTGAATAGAGTAGTTGTCATTAGCATATTAGGTTCTCACTCATCACAGTTTACTGGGAAGTATTACTGATCATATCAAATTTTTCTTGGAATTAGTCAGTTTGTCTTACTATACTCCGTAGTTTATCTTTTTTAAAATAAAAAAGGTAATCTAATACAAGTTTGATCACAAACCAACTTCAGTTAGAGAAATATTGAAAACCAGGGAGTACTGTAAAGGTATTTTGTTCTAGTTCAAGATTCTTTATCACTTCACACCAGTGATTCTACCATAGACTAAAGCTAGGATCCACTGAAGAGTCCAAAACAAGGACGAAACAACCGTCTAGTACTTCTTGGTTTTCAGTGATTCTTTAACTTATGTTTGTCACCAGACTTGAAAAGAATAAAACTCTTTCAAAGAAACACTTGAAAATGTAATGTATTAGATAAAATATGTACTTACTAACCTCACACTGTTCATCAAGTTGAGGCACATTCAGTTTTTCTAACAGGCTAGTAGCTAAAATGAAGATTAATCAAACAAAAAAAAACAATTATTCATTTATCAGTGTAAATCTTTTAGAAATGAAGTGAATGAATTTGAATAACCTGCACTTCAAAGACACTGAGATAAGGTAGTGTACATTTTTTTTGTCAAATGGATGTTTAGATATCCAGGTTAGATGTTTTTTTCAGGATATTTATGTGCAATATGTACACAGGTGAGAAGTATAAATCCAGAATGTGTTAATCCCTTTTCTCTTTGAACAGATCTTTCCGAATGATGAACCGGTTTAACATTCATCTAAGGATAATGAATTTGTTAGTAACTTCTACAGTACGCTTGATATAAAGGCGATGATTTTATTTCATGATTATGTAAGTATCTGTTATGTACTCGTCGAGAGGTTAATAGTCCTGACGCGGAAAGAGGGAAATCAGAAGTCCACGAGGTTTATGATGATACTTGTATTTTCCAGACAAGGAAAATAAATGTCACAGAAGTGTGTGGGTGGAAGGGTACTTAGATGTACGAAATGTGTGTGAACCAGAATAATGTACAAGTGTCTAATACAAAAGAATATATGAAAATGGCTAATACACATGAACCAACGAGATAACGTCTTACCATGATTGGTTGTAATGTCATGTGATAACAAGGTCATACATGTTTATTTAGTTAGTGGACAGACAGAATCATATTGTCAGTTATAATGGAATATAGATCCATATACACATAGCAAAATATAATAGATTGTCAAAAACAAAACACACATCATGTGGATACATGTCATGAAGAATTCCATAAGCTCAGTTCATTTGAAAGTAACGCGTGAAAATGTTATCCAGTAGGATAGTGAAACTTGGTAATTAAATCATCCGGCACAGAGCATACAGTAGAATTAAATGCAACCATTTCAGCTTCAAATCATTAGATTCTGTGATGAATATTTAAAATTGGTTGGAGGATTTCATCATGAGCTGACATCAGTTAGAGAACCTGCATGGAGTACTGGACAGCTGTTTCGTCCTAGTTTGAGATTTCATCAGTATGCACCCACCGACAGGGTCCAAACCCAGGACCTTCTGGTGACAGGACTAGCCAGCTTGTAGACCAATAAGCCACTGGGAGCCGATCCAGTGCCCAGTCCATGAATTCTAACTTCTGCCAATTCATGACATAGCGCGACAACTTCGCAATGTCTTCTTCGATGAATAACTGTCCTTACCTTTGACCTGCTGTACTCTACTGTTCATGGCTTCCCACTAGAACCCAAGGTAAACTGCCTGAGCATCTCATTTATTTTCAAGTATTAGTTTTGTAGGGATCCTGTTTGATTGGTTAGAGGATTTCATCACGGGCTGTCCAGTACTCCTAGGTTTTCCAATGGTGATGAATATAAAATTTGTCAGCTACAGTAATGGAATGCTCATATTGGACTGGACCATGTGACAGAAAATAGAGAATGAGTTAATGAACATACGCCGAACTGAAAAGAGCATCCAAGAATATTCGGACTTCTGGGAATTCTTATGTCTCATGTCTCCTGCCTTTGAAAACTTATAAGTGAAGACAAAAAGGTTAGCATTAGAGGCAGTGAAGATACGATTTCAGGTGAACGCAGAGAAGATATGGGTGGTATAGACACTTGACTGACAAACAACAAACACTAATCATCCACAGTGGGAGAAATCTAGACGAAGTTGTTTCTTTTACTTATATGAAGAGCACCGTTTCAATTACAGGCGTTGGCACGGTCGAGAATCTCAAAGCCATTGAGGATCAAACTGGGAAATCAAGACACATGCTCGCTACCCCGAGATCAGTTTGGAGATCTACAGCACTAAGCACAAGAAACAGGATGCAGATTTTGAACACTAAAGTCAAGTCAGTGCTTCTGTATGGTTCAAACTATTGGCGTGCATCATCGAAAGCATTTCCAATAGACTGCTATAGACTTTTATCAACAGCTGCACCCTTCGCTCAACATTGAAGATCAGCTGGTTGACCAGAAAGATTGGGGGATAAGGAACTCCGGCAGTCAGTAAATCAACCAGAATCTTTGACCTAACACACATGGAGTGGTAATACACTCAGACCTTGGACTTGAACCTGATTGGGAAGCAACGGGTTGGGTGTTGAAGACTGACACAGCAAAGATCACGTGAAGAGGAAGTGAAAACTTATGAGCGGTTTCAGTCCAGCTAAAAATGACGGAAAAGAACAGATTATAGGGGAGATATGTCACGGAATCCCTCTGTTCTACCCAGAATTCAATAAAGAGCAAACAGCTGTTCTTATAATGACAATAGCTGTCTGGTCATAAAATAGGTGTGTAACATACACCGGTCAGGTAACAGAGATATTATCGACTGTGTACTGTATAATGCATTACAGATTTCGATGTATTCTTCTGATGGCAATACCTGAAGACAGCAAACTTAGAATTAGTAACAATATAAAGGGCTTTTTTAAATATTTTAAATGTTGATTAGAATCAGTACATAAATTAGAAGCTGAGTTTAGGAATAATTTTACAGTGAGCTACAGTTGATATGGTGTTGATATGATAAGCTGGGTGTTAAAAAAGTGACTGGAAACTAACTCAGTGTTTATCTGAAATTTAATGTACTTTGACAGAGTTAAGGGTGAGCAATATTGATGGCTTACAAAGGAATATTCACTCTAGTTTTTGACATTCAAGACAACTTATCATTTTCATGCAAAGTTTTATATTTCGGTGTCATTAATTATCAGGTCTTCAGTCAAGAATATGGCAATAATTATATTACATAACATCTTGTTAACAGTATATAAAAATATTACAATTAAATGAAGGAGGTCTGTTTAAAACTTAGGCTACCGAAAAAGCCTCTATCAGCATACTGCATATAATATCACTCGTTCACTTTGTTTAAATATAATAAAATGTGACCTCTAATAAAATTATTTACTCTGGCGAGTGTTTCAAATATTTACAACCTGCTGATTCGCCAGTTACTACTAAAAGTGAAATAAAAGCATAGTCGTGGGTGACAATATAACTCAATATTACGTAGTTCCTGAGTTGTATCCTTGGTTCTCAAAACGTACTCCTGAACTTTTTATGTTTGACATACAACCAAATGTAGTGTAGATATATAGTGTAGAGATATCATAAAAGGTTGGTTAGAACGTCAGGTGAGATAGAACTGTGTTACACGATCTACTTCCGATTAATATTTCTGAAATTTTCAAGTATCGGTTTTGTAGCGATTTTGTTTGATTGCATGGAGGATTTCATCATGAGCTGCCACCAGTTACAGAACCATTGGAAAACCTGGGAATACTGGGCAGCTGTTTCGTCAGCCCAGTTGGGGACTCTTCGGCAGTACGCACCCTCCAACAGGGCTCGAACCCACGGCCTTCTGGTTACAAAGCTAGCGAGCTCACAGACCATTTAGCCACTGGGACCCAATCCAGTGGTCAGACCATGAATTCTAGCTTCTGCCAATTCATGAAATAGCACGACTACTTCGCAGTGTCTTCCTTGATAAATAACTGTCTTTACCTTCGACCTGCTGTACCCTGCTGGTCACGACTTCCCACTAGAACCGCAGATAACTGCCTGAATGGGGTCAGTCGCTAGTGACCATCTCGGTTATTTTCAGTTATTGGTTTTGTAGGGATTTTGTTTGGCTATTTGGAAGATTTCATCATGGCCTGTGCAGTACTTTCTGTAGGTTTTACAATGATGAGGAACATAAAATTTGTCAACTAAATTAATGGAATGATCCTGATGAACTGGATCATGCGACAGTCAATAGAGAATGGGAAAATGAACATACGATGAACTGAAAAAGTGATTCAAGAATATTTCGTTTTCTGTGAAGTCTTATATCTCATGTCACGAATTGGCAGAATTTAGAATTCATGGTCTGGCCATTGGATCGGGTCCCAGTGGCTTAATGGTATACGAGCTCGCTAGCCTTGTAACCAGAAGGTCTTGGGTTCGATCCGTGGAGGCGGGTGCGTACTGCCGAAGAGTCCCCAACTAGGCTGACGAAACAGCTGTCCACTATTCCCGGGTTTTCCAATGGTTCTGTAACTGGTGGCAGCTCACGATGAAATCCTCCATATAATACTTCTTATTTGAAGATCCTGGATGAGGAGAAAGTATCCTGCAATAAACTGAGCTGAAAATTCTTTACATTATATAAACAGTGTCCAGAATAAAGATGTTACTATCAGTGTCCTATCTTCGTACTGTAGTATTGACTGACCTCGAAAGACAGATCATTCAAATCGTCCACGTTTAACTTCCGATTCGTGGGATTAGCACTAGATATCAGTACCTTTCAATTAATGATCAATTAAAATGTTAGAAAACTAAAAGCCTCTTTATATTAGATGGTTGGAGGCAGTTGCGAGGACGGCTTCTACCTAGTTTCCGTGCTAGCCGGCATTCATTGGTCAGCAAGGCGTATCTGTAACTTTGAAGGAACCCATGTCCCTTCTGAGATTTGGACCTTCGTCACCCAGTGAGTGCTGCAGTCAGAGAATTTATCACCGAGAAATTCGGCCTCGTAATGGACCTCCTGTAGGACTTTATTGAACATTGCAAACTTGACTGATAGAATTTAGTCTGCACCAAAGATAGGACTAGACACATTACACTGATTACTGACTAGTATCCAATCAAAACTATAATCATATTAGGGAATGAGAGCATAAGTTAGATAAATATAAAAAAATAGTTCCAAATAGTATGTATGGGGAGATAGGTAAAATAAAAACAGCTTGATGGTATCATATTAGTTTCACTTCTAATCTATGTAAGGTTTCAACCATATAAGCCCAATAATTAGTCAGTTTCAATTAAACAAGGCACTTCCTCAGCTTCAAAAGGGTTAATGAATTCTGTCATGTGCACTTTAATGTCAGTCAATGAGTCATGAGAGTAAAAAATACGGGTTTAAAGATCACATTCTCTTTTATGAAGTGCATTGATCCCTAGATTAAAATATCTGTAAGACGTTGATAAGATATTAGGAGTTATTCAGGAAGAATGTATGACTTCACTTTGGTTTCGATGTATGTTGGTACTTGTCATTGAGTTGCATCCTTGAAGATGGGAACTTTATTCATTCATAAGAAAAGTGCATGTCATCTGCTTTCATAGTTTTTATCCATAGAGAGATATACTTCAACTAATCCACAATAAAAGCCGGTAATGTTGTAAGCTGATATGCGTGAGGTAGTTCAACACAGGTTCATTGAATCTTCCCTCACATTATCAGTTTTACCTGGGATTGTAAACTCGATAATGAAAGCCACTTTGATCACGACAAAGCAGAAGCCAGTTACATATGCTCTTGTTTTGTTAGGGAGTCTATGGAGAATAAATTAATGAGTAGATTCCTGTTGAGTTCCTCAAAATCAATGGGGCCCCTGATTCAGGATAGTGTTTGATAGTCGTGGCTCTAGATCACCAGCCAATAGAAGATGGTAATCACAGACCATTGTTTTTGGACAAGGCGACTGAGTGTTAGCTTCCTTGCCCTAGAATGTGACTATCCTACTATCCGTCTCCATTGAAAACTGCTTCAGCACTATGGCGTTCCTCAAATCTTTATCAACCTCATTCATCAGCCTTGTCTAACTCCTGTCTTCGGCTAGCACGTTTCGCTGAGTTTTTCGCTCTGCTATTTCTAATTACGGTGGACTGGATTATGCGGAAGACTGTGAATGGGGAGCGGCAGTATAAAAATATATTGGACTGATAATAAGACACCAGAAGTTCAGGACTTTGTGGACGATTTATTTCTATCGTCACATAAATTCGAAGGTCTATAGGTAAAAACCGACAAGTTGGCAGAATGAGAACCGGCAAAAACAGGACTTCAGGTGAACACAAAGAAGATGGAGGTAATGAAGATAACCAACCAACAATAACAATTGCGTCGGTGGCACGGTGGCTAGGAAGCTCACAGACCATGCACATGGTCCGGGGTTCGATCCTCGGCCGACACAATCCTTTACTTCGCTAAGCCAGTAATAAAAGCTGGTAAAGAGGAACCCCATCCTGCAAAAATAAACACTGCTACAGAAAATTCAGGCCTATAGCTTGAAGTCCTATGTTCCACTGGGAAAGTGAGGGAATAAAATAATACAAAAAATTTAAAAAAAACCAACAATAACAACAAGCACGAATGATTACAAAAAGAGAAGTTTGAAGGAAGTCACTTCCTCTCTTAGCAAGGCAGGATTGTTACAAATACAGGCAGCACAGTTCGGGATTTCGAAGCCAGACTCGGAGAGGCAAGATAAACCTGCATCATTTTGTAATCATTTCTAAGTCCTTTGCACTCAGCATGAAGAATAAAATTCGGGCTTTCAACACCATTGCTAAGTCAGAGATTTACGCTGAGCGTCATAAAAAGCATTTGCAACAGCCTGCCGCAGACTTTTGTAAACAGCTGACTTCGCTTCACATTGAAGACCAGTTGGCTAGCCAGAAAGAATTAGTCAAAAGAAACTATGGGACTAACCATTCAAGAACCTATTACTCAGCAAATATTCCCAATGAAATGGAAATGGATCGAACACACGTTGATGAAACTGTTGCGTGACATCGCACGCCCGGCCATCGCCTGAATGGAATCTGAATGGTAAACGACGAGTTTGGTTTCTGTCTGAGAACGAAATGGAGGAAGTCATGTGAGAATGAGACTGGAGCTTACTGGAAATCGTGGGGCAGGTAAAGAGGACTATAGGGAATAGTATGCAGTGTATATGTGCCCCTGAAGCTCTGTTCTTCACTGGGAATCCAACGGAATAATAAATAACCATTGAAAGTTAGAGGGTACTAGACGAATTGTTTATTAACAAATAAATAATTTCTCCGGTACCTTCTGACTTTCAGTGGTTATTTCAATCAGTGTGCAGTTTTGACAATGTCAGCCTCAATTTATATCAATAATAGATTTTAACCATCTTCACTATAGTAGCCGTTTATAACTAACAAATAATTTCATTTCATAAAATGATAAACCAGAGTATCAGTACAAGACAATATACTACAATAGAGTATAATTTATAATAACTGAAATTATAAACAAACTTCAAAATATATTCTTTACAAGAATGCTATACTTACCCTCATCCAACTCATTGCTATTATTAGAATAAGTTCTATAGCGTGCGCTTGTAAATTGTTTCTTTTGTTGAATAGTTTGATATGACATTCAGATTAGATTGTAGGCGTGTGCAGTAGGGTTTCTAAAATGGCAAATGATGAATACATCTTATTGCTCATTCAAAAACCCATAGAGAAATAAAAACAAATGTGCATACTTCATGAAATATTCATCAGACTAGGTGGGTAATCATGCACATTATTTACTTCCATAACTGTCAGATTGTACTTCCTCAGTCATCTGAATTAGGCATGAGTTTGAATTAGCAACAAGAAACTCTAGCTGGCGACGAATCATCCGAGCAAAGGCCGATGGCTCAGCAAATATATAGGAGAAAATGGAAGTGGATGAAGCATATGCTGGCTGAAGAGGCCGTCGAATGTCGTCGCTCTCAACACAGGCTGTCGCTCGGGTGGAATCCCAGTAAGAAGCGATTAGTGGATCGTAGGCGCGAAGGTGACATTGAGTAGATCGTGTGGCGGGAGGGGCAGATGAGAGGTTCTGATTTATCGTGGACCCAGATGAAGAGAATAACAGAAAAGGGAACAAACTGGAGATATATTGTTGAAGCCCTATGTTCGGAACCAAAGGGAATAATAATAATAATTGTGATACTAAGACATTAAAATGATGGTCAACGAATTTTGTGACTGTTGATATAATCCACATGAAGAAAATGATACTTCAAGTATGAGGTCTTCAAAGTACTGGATACTAAATTGTAGGAGACAAGAATTATGGAGCTAGATATTAAATCCACTTCATGAATACAAGTAAATCCGTGGTTTGTCTTCTTTCCCTCTCCCTTGTTTTCATCATCCATTGTTTCGATAATTTCATTTGTCATTTCTTTTAATCGATTCCATTTTAAATCGTTGATGTAAACTGTGTGAAAGCAAACCCAGATGATTGTGACTGGTTATGTGTTGAGTTTGAATATCAGTAATTATTTCGTTTAAATTTAACATGGCTGTTCAATATTCAATTGTTATAGACACACAAATCTCTCAATTAAATCCTTTCTTATATCCACACTGTGGCACAGAAATGAAATATGAATCACGGTATCAAAAATATGCATAAGAAAGATATTTTCCGACTGAATAATAGACAAATAAACCAATTTCGACAGATAGGTACCTTTAGTTTCTACGGATACAATCATGAAAGTGCATTTTTCAACTACAAAAGATGTTTAGTGTCTTATCATTAGGTAATTTTTAATACAACTAATGCTAATATCATGATTAATAAAATTACTGCTTCGTATTCGTCCACAACGGAGCTACTCAGCCTTTCTGCTTATACACAGAATAACTAATACTCACACGACATGACTAGTACTATCATTGATGCTGTAATCATTATAACTGCTAATTTATTATGATAAGTATTACTCATGTTTAACCTTGAAATATACGAAATTCAATGGCTTGCTTAGCTGTCACCTTATTCTGTGAATGTCATCATCTTGTCTAGTCATATGACAAGTAAACAAACCGAAAACAAAATGGAAGTTAAAAAAAATAAATAAAAAAACAAATCGATGAGGTGAATATTTTTTGAATTTTGTCTAGTAAAGTTAACTTATCTATACGAAAGGTTAAGTAAAGTGTATAAGATGAAGAGAATGATTCATCAGTTCATTGTACTACTACAAGTATGTTTAGATCAATAATCCTGTGTAAACTCTTGGCATGTACCTACCTATAAATAGAACAAACTAATTTTTCAAGTGTCGGTTTGTAGGGATTTGATTGGTTTCAGGATTTCATCATGAGCTGACATTAGTTAGAGAACCATTGGAAAACCTAGGAGTACTGGACAGCTGTTTCGTCCTAGTTTGGGACTCTTCAGCAGTACGCACCCACCGGGATTCGAACCCAGGACCTTCCGGTTACAAGGCGAGCTCGTATACCATTAAGCCACTGGGACCCGATCCAATGGCCAGTCCTTGAATTCTAACTTCTGCCAATTCACGATATAGCGCGACCGCTAGCCAATGTTTTCGGCGAGTATTTGTCCTCACACCCGACCTGCTGCACCCTGAAACCAATCAAATCCCTACAAACCAACACTTGAATACCAATAAGATGCTCACTGGCGACTGGCCCTATTCAGGTACGTAGTTACCTGGGTTCCAGTGGGAAGTCGTGACCAGTAGGGTGCAGCAGGTCGGGTGTGAGGACAAATACTCGCCGAAGACATTAGCTAGCGGTCGCGCTATATCGTGAATTGGCAGAAGTTAGAATTCAAGGACTGGCCATTGGATCGGGTCCCAGTGGCTTAATGGTCTACGAGCTCGCCTTGTAACCGGAAGGTCCTGGGTTCGAATCCCGGTGGGTGCGTACTGCTGAAGAGTCCCAAACTAGGACGAAACAGCTGTCCAGTACTCCCAGGTTTTCCAATGGTTCTCTAACTAATGTCAGCTCATGATGAAATCGTGAAACTAATTTTTCATGACAGAATAAAACTCACTTATTTTGAAAAGATGATATAATCAAATATTGAGTAGTAAGAGGTGAATAGTAGTCACTCATCTATTTAATTAACTATCTCTGTGATTTAAACAACAAGACAGTGATTACCTAATGCTTGATTACGTAACAGACAACAAATATTTACTAGGAAAGAGATAATTTTAAAGTAGCCTTTACTGTAGATGTGTACTATGCGGGGGGGGGTGAGGTGGTCCTGATGTGTTAGATGATTGGAGGAAATGAGTAGGAAATCTCGATTGATTGATTGATTGACAGAGCTTAGTCAACACCACTAAGAGGAAGATGTATGATAAGGATTACTGACCACAAATCAATTGGTGTAAACACTACCTTGAAATTATTAGACGTGACACCTAGGGGTATTTACTATTATATTATTATTTATATTAGTCTGATGGGTCCCAAGTGGAAAAAAGAGGGGGATTCGTCAGCCTTTCACTATTTCCCTCTGTTCTCTACAGTCTTTTATTAGCTGGCTACATTTCCTCCTCACACGATTACCTCTATGTCCTCCTCGGATGCTTCATCCGTCATTTCCTATTCAGGTGGGTAGATATGATTGTAAGTAATAAATTGTTCTTGTAGTGTCATTCAATTATTAATATTGTATTACTGTCGATTACATGAAATGAGCTTTTCTAATGTAGAATAATTAATGTTAAACTAACTATCATGTCAAACTTTAGTTTCATCTTTATCACATTACATCTACCCATGATACCTGTTTATTGAGCGATATTTTCTCTTCGTACAAGATCTTTAGATAGAATATTTATCGATACTAAATTCTGTGACAAAATGCTATTTGACTTAAAACACAAAAAAATCCCCTATGATGCTTCTTCTTTGTCTTCAAGTATTGGTTTTGTAGGGATTTTGTTTGGTTGCATGGAGGATTTCATCATGAGCTGACATCAGTTAGAGAACCATTGGAAAACCAACCAGGGAGTACTGGACAGCTGTTTCGTCAGCCTCTTCTGGGACCCTTCATCAGTACGAAACCACTACTAGGATTCGAACTCAGGACCTTCTAGTCACAAGGCTAGTGAGCTCATAGACCATTGAGCCACTGGGACCCGGTCCAATGGCCAGCCCATGAATTCTAACTTCTGTCAGTTCACGACATAGCGCGACCATTTCACAATGTCTTCTCCGGTGAGTTACTGCCTCATCTTCTTTCTGTCGTTAAATAAATGCACGACATTCCTTTGAAAGCCAAACTGTAAAACGTTCAAGAGAACATGTTGAGATCTAGTGACATAACTCAAGAACAGTTGTCTCATGTATACTAGGATACGCTGCTCTCCACAGTTACTCTTTTCCTCAAGTTTTTATAAAAAATTCCAGATCAGTGAATTGTAAACACTAAATACACACGAGACTATACAGTACCACTAAAGGTTATAATTTAATAGATCAAAACACACTGGACAAGAGAAATTATTTGCAATATAATGAGGGAAGTTCTTCTAGTAGCCCAAGTTCTAAGCAGGCCGCCGAACCGTATCTTATTATTAAACTGTTAAAGATCACCTGATATCTTTGCATCGTCAGCAAACTGTTTATGTAACTGGTTACAAGATTTCATCATGAGCTGACATCAGCTACAGAACCATCGGAAAACCTGCAGGGAGTACTGGACAGCCGTTTCGTCACAGGTTGGGATTCTTCACAGTGTTCAATCAACTAAATTTATAACAATACCTTGAGTGGAAATTTAATATGACCACTTTTTTCATTAACCCTGAGAACATACACAATGTCATTTGAACGGTAAATTAAAAATCTATGGCCATCAAACTACACTTCGGCTTTTGTGAGTGCAAACAGACACTTCAAATGATTAGTGCAATAATACAGTTGTAACGGTGTAGAATTCCAGAGTCTTTCGTTTGTTGAAAAAGTATATAAATATTGCTATACATCAACAGTTGTCAGGAATTCGAATTCGTGTGACATTTAAGTCTGGTCTGAACGGTTGAATGGTCTACGAGCTCACCTTGTTGATATTAGATCCCAAGTTCGAACCCCGGTGGTTGCATCCTGTCCAAAAGTCGTAAAACAGACGTCCAGTACTCCACTGTTTCCCAGTGGTTCTCTAATTGATGTCAACTAGTGGTCAAACCTGTCACTAACACTTGAAAATAGGTATTACTCTAGTAAGGATATAAGAAAGAGTTCAGCATGATAATTGTATCAATTTTATCAACACCCAAGATGTGCGATAGAAATGACACAGTACAAGTTTCGATTATATCGGAAGTTGCATTGAAATGCAGGGAAGAGTAAAACTTAATAATATAAGTTAGGAATTTGTGTGAATGCAAGTGATTGTAACATATGATCGTAGACAGTAAATTGTGCTAAATGAGTCATTCAGTTATTAATACTGTTTTGTCAGTGTGTTATATCAAATGAAGTTGTCTAATGTGTGTTGAGTTTGTTCTGTTAAAGAATTTTGTGTCCAGTGTAGCTCTTCGAATCTTAATCTAAATTCGCATTTCAGAAGTGCCTGGAATATACTGCTATGCATTTCTTGAAGGAAATGAAAGAAAAGTTATCTCATAGGACTGAATCTTCC